TTATTATGATAACGTTATATTTTATGTCTCTTCTAAATTTTTACAGTTTAAATTATCCCTTTTAAATATTTTCTTTAATTCAAAGAATGTTTTTACATCACGAAAGCGTTAAAAATTCTGAATACTTGCGTGATAATTCTTTTTTGCATAATCAAAACTTTTTTTTTATTTCAATAAATACTTTTTTAGCTGTACAATCGTTAGTGCGTTTTTTTTTATACGCTGATAATTATTAGTATATGTATTACATGTGAAATTCTGCATTGTAAATATTCTTACGCATAGAAGTTACACGACTCGTCGCGTCGCTGCGTTTTCTCAGGGATCTCCGAATTCGTTGTCAGAGATTCCAAGCGTCGTCGTTTTCTCGCACCCTCCTTGAGTGTAAGAATGTTGATTCCAGTCGTCGTTGATTTGTTCGTGTTCGTCGGCTTGACGGTGTCTCCCTCTGAGGAGCTTGCCATCGTCTCTAGTAAAAAAAAGCGCAGGTATTTATAAACTTGTTCAAACGTTTATATTTAATGTGTGTGTGTGTATACCTATATATATATATATACATATATATCAGATCTTCTAACGTAAATGCATTTAATTAGAGAACAAGAAAGAGTAACCATTTCCATTCTTAAAAACATTTTATGAATATACAAATTTAAAAATAATCGCACTTAGATAATATAAATTATTTTACATGCAAAATATCAAATTGCAATTAAGAAAATCTATAATAAGTGTCTTTTAACATTGTTATTCTTATCTTCATAAATCTAGGACCCCTAAAAATTTAGCATTTAAAATTCTGAGGGAGTTGAATCATTTTATTATCACAATCAAAATTATAATAATTGTTAACATTAAAAGTTTCTACTTTGGAATTTATTAAGTTTTATATAATTAATGGAAACAATATTTCCATTAAAAGATTGCAAACGAGATTGTTCGAAGCGGAACAATAAATCCTTTTATGATGAGTATATTATATTAGAGATATTATTTCCAATACTTTAGTACGAGATGTGCATTAATGCTATTATCTTAAGTGCTTTTACTTTATAAAGAGGACGCGGAGTCAAGAATGTTTTTTTTCTTTCAATTGCTCTAATTAAACGAATTCTCTAATTAAGCCTTTGAACCTTTCAAAAGCCATGCAACGATAATGGAGGAATTTCACGTAATTGAAATAAACTGTATGTGGTTTAGAATCTCACTTTTTTATTACTTGTTATTTTGTAAAAATTGGAAACGCGCTCCATTCCATTTTATAGCTATAAGAGCAGCTAATGAACAAGAATCGCGACAAAAATGGACTTACCGTTTTTCTTGAGGACGTAAGAATATCTTATAGCCGACCAATCGGACTCGCCGAGTATATTGTTGGATTCGGCACAGCGGCGAATCCTCCTCGCGAGAGACACCGTCGCCAACTAAGAGAGGCTGAGGCCCTAAACTACACCACGGCTTGCGGTCGCTATATGTGCTAATCGCGTCATCTCGTCTCTTTGGCTCTATTTAGCTCTCATCTCTCCTGTCTCCTCGCCGCGTGTACCGCCCACTCACTCTAAGTTTGAGAGACCATAGTGGCCGTCCACGTCCGCTTTCATCTGCACGAACTTGGTCGCGATCATTCTCGACAAAGCACCTCGATCGAAAAGGGAAATTTTCGTATTTTAATATAAGTTACTCAACAAATATATGTCTAAATATACATGTCTAAATATATATGTCTAGTCTACGGATGATGAATGTTAAAGCTTATTATTTGTTATGGACATTCTAGCACGAAGAGTGAAAGTTTGGGTCATCATTTCCAATCAACCTTTCATTCGATCAAACATTAAATCGCTCGTTTATTATAAGCAATATTCTTCCTGTAAAATATACATGCTTTTTTTTAAAAATTATATTTAATACAACTAAATAATTATTGTGTACATATTTATATGATTAATTATGCTTAATTATAACGTATATTTGAAGGAGGTGAAGGATCATTTCATTTGTGAATTAGGGAATAGTCATTATGAAATCGCTATCAAGTGGTCCAGGGTCCCTAGGCCCGGTCCACGTCCCACATGCTGCTGATAAGGGATGAAGAAGGGATGCGGATCGGCTGTTAGCTCGGTAGCGAGAGAGGTCCGAATCGCGTGGGGTGCGGCGAAACTAGAGGAGAGCACGCAGCTATCGATCGATAGCGACGCCTGTGCAGTGAGCGAGCCCGAGCCACGATCGACAACCGTCCAGAGCCCAGGGGAAACAATCGTGTCGTCTCTTTGACGTAGCTCGACGCGTTCGACGCGTGTGAGAACGGCCGAGTGTGGACAGTGGTTGTTGTTCCCTTTCACGTGCTCCCGCCGGCGATTCTGTGGCTCGCCGTGTCTCTCCCGCGTTCCTCTCCGGCCGAGGGTCTTCTCCTTTGACTCCGTTGAGCCACGCAGCCGGCTGACAGATTCGCCGTTCACGACGGCGGCATCCTCGACACGTCGAGACGCGTCGTCATGTGGCTGACAGTGCGAGATACATTAGGTGCGCCGAGAGTAGTGAATATTCGTGCGTATTTATAGAACTGCGCCGGTCCTTCACTTTGTTATCGGAGCCTGCCATCGCCTGACGATGAGTTTACAGCGACGCTTTAATAATCACAATGAAAATCAACTCCAAAAAGAAAGCGCGGTTTTAACGGAGTTGATATAAATTGGCTGAATGCACGTATTGTCTGTAGTCTCATTTAATTAGCGCAGCTCGTGACGTAGTTGCGCTAATATAACAGTTTAGTTTATGACTATGCCTAGTCTACAGGAAACCTGCGGAGGCAAATCAAGTAGAATAAGTATAGTTACTTGTGTATTTTTTTGTTAATAAGGGTAAATTTGCAAAAAAAAATAGTACAGTGAAAAAATATCTTTAAAATAGAACCAGAATTTTGAAAAGCGTAAAATAATCAAATTGTAATGTCAAACAAAAATTAAAGAATATAAATTTTAATTTTAATATTGTTCACATTTAATGGAAAATACATTTGAATTTGAATAATTGAAATAATGAAAACAAAAGTTTTTTATTTTTGTACTTATTAGAAATAGAACTTTTTATTTGAAAAATGCAAAGAGCATCAAATGTTTTTAATTTTTCAACTTTACCATACACTGTTAAAAACATTTTTTTATATATTATTCTTTTTTTATATATAGTAATCTACACTTTTAATATGTAGAATGTCAAAGGCTGCTTTCTGTTAACTATCCAACTTTCTATTAAGTATCCCTTTATCAAAGTGATGTTAGATAAAGATTTGATAATTAGAAAACATATTTTAATTTATTCGACTTGTGCTGGGTGACACATTAAATGGCCAAGAAAGTCAATATCTGATTGATGAAGGCATGCATCAAAATATTAATCTTAGAAAAAGTTCTTGAACCTTGACTCCAGGGAATATATAATTATCGATTACATAGCTATGTTGATGTCCATACATCATTTGCAACGATAGGTACTTCACTTTTAGCTGACTTCGGTTTAGAAATTGCTTTTTTCCGTAATATAGAAAAGAGAATAAAAAAGTTAACTCGGGTTATAGTTAATCGATTCTGAGATAGAGATAGAAATAGATAGGCAGAAAGAGTGGGAGAGAAAGGTGATAAAGAGGAGAGGAGAAGATTAATATTACATAATATTAAATTTTATATTTTAAATATTTACCATCGAATTAAATGTTGAATATTTTTAAAATTTTCTTAATGTGTTACACGAAACATTAATTTTAATAACTGATTCTTTCAAAAATTAAAAAGTATATTAATTGTCCTTTAAAAAAGTTCCAAAGAAAAATCATTATTTATTACATTCAATATCAAATATTTTAATAATTACAACTCGAATATTATTTCACAAAGAGTCTATTTCATTTTATGTAATACGTTTATTTTAATTACATGCACGTGAAAAGTACACTTTGTAGAAAACAAAGTGTTTTAAGTAATTCGTTTGAAAATATCTATATATTTTATACTTTGTTTTAAAAATGAAAATTTTAATATTAAAAAATTTAAATACATTGATACTTTTATTAAATAATATCTTGGTTTTGAATAAAGTTTTTCTCGGTGAACAGCAATTATCAGTAACATATCGCAATGTTACAATTTTCTACTCGTCAATGTAATTATTACGTTCGACGTGTGCGATATTACATATATAATGTTGAGTGGAAAATTATAATATTGATGTAATGTTACTGCTATTTAATGTCTACCGGATTAGTAATATCGATATAAAATATGCCTTTGCTTTCTCACAGTACATCATAGGCGTATACATCACAGGACAGACTATACTTCACCACGCCCACGTGGTGACGGTATAGCAAGGCGTTTAGCACCTTACTTACACATTCCAATTCTATAGATTAGATCAAGGACTCGCGATTAGATAATAGTTTCTCCATCTCTGTAGTAATTCGCAACACGTGGTATCATATGTGATCTATAATATCTATTAACATTCTAGTCTCACCATAATTATCTTTCCAGACTATAAATAAATTTGCTTTTATATTACATATTTCATAAAATAAAATCACAATAATAGTATATTGGTATTCTAAAAAAACTACATATTTTTAGATCTTTGTTTGGTCACTGCATATTAAATTATGACGTGGGAACGAGACGTTGTAACTTATAGCATGGCTAAGTTTTGTCGCACGTGTCAGATTTAATTGATGTAATAAATTTGCGCGCGCGTGTATCAATAAATATATTGTATATACATATATATTCTATCAAATGCAAAAAAGTTATTTGTTCTTTTTTTGTATATAATATAAGAAATAATTAATAAATGAATTTCTTCCTTCTAACGTTATAATCAAACATGGCTGCCGTAACAAAACGGAAGCTCTAAGTGCTTCTTCAGAAGATTTCTATTTGAAAATTAAGTTTTTTTCCTAATTTTGCTGTGTTATAATATCTTCTGTGTATTACATACAGTTGTTACTCTGGAAACGAAGAAGAAACGTTGGACGTTCAGCATGACATAAACTAGCTACAGCTATCGCGGAAGAAACTGAAGCGTCGTGCGACAAAAAAAGATAAATAGAGGAAACGAACGTCAAGTGTAAACGAGTGTAAGATGTCCGAAAACGAAACAAAATCGGCCTCGCCGATACCCACTGTTATGTGCGCGCAATGCAGTATCAACGACGGCGGTGGTGATAGTGGCGGTGGCGGCGGAAGTGGAGGTAGTGGTCTGTCGATCACGCAATGCCCGGCCCTACAGGTCACCTCGCGGATGCTGCGTTCACCGAGTCATGAGAGTGTCACCACCGATCTGTCACTCTTCAGCGTGTCGTCGATCGCGAGCGATCTGCGCAGCGCCAACAGATTGGTCACTTTCAAATCCTACAGCGATGCGCAACTAACTGGACGAGGACCTTCACCGAAACCAGATTCTCGACAGATTCAGGGTAACAGGTGTGTAGTACAACCGCTATCATGATGAAGAGATATCGGCTATCTCACTCTTGACTTAGTATTTATTTATTATATGTATTTTAGGCCGGCAGACATTCCAGAGATTTTATGGTTTGAGGAGGAGAACGAATTAATTCGCAGCTGCGGTGTTTTGTCATCGGCATTGGGATTGCGTAAGAGTTTTAGTACGAGCGATGTGTCGCAGCTTCCTAGTCCAGATGCAGCTGGAGCCGGTGGCCTACGAACGGCGGTATCCGCTCTAGCTCTCGACACTGCTCAGCGTAATACTCTGCTGCTGGAACACGCCAGACTCGACCATGCCTCGAGGTCTTGCAGCACCTGGGTTGCCGTGGGTGAACCCGTGGCCAGTACGTCTCAGCTTCCTAGCCCGCATGGAGGAACCGCGCAGGAGCAGCAGCCTCAACAACAGCAGCAACAGTTGCAGTCGCAGCAGCTCCAATCGCAGCAGCAATCTTCTTCAAACGTTCAATCGGTGCCACAACTACCACCGCAACCACCGGCACCGCCGCCACCACCTGTGCCCTTCACTGGAGCGGATCTCGTGAGGTCCGTCAATAAGAAAGTCCGACAGAACTACATACGACGAAGGTTGGTAATCGATGTGAAGAAAATCTTTCTTTTTCTCTCGGTTCAAAATTCATGGACCTTTTTATACAACTCTTTAGAACAAAAAAAAAACGGACCGTTTGTCTTCTCTACATGCACACTGAATTTAACAAATTTTAATTCTGGAGTAAATTATAGTTATATACCTGTCATTCTCATATATATTTATATTCGACTTTTTGTCTAAGAAGGAAATATGCATGTCGTTTTTTTTATTTTGATGAGTTTTGTTTATTTTTTATGATACAAAACGGGATATGTATCTTTTTACAAGTATTCATAGAGACGAGAGTGAGGATTACTTTTATTTAAATTTTATGGGAATTAGAACGAGACATTCGTGTACGTTTTGTTGTAATTGAAGTGAACGTAACTCAAAACGCGTTGAAGTTATTAAGTCACGCCGTTTCAGGTTTCAATACAAAAAATATGCAGAAATAGAGTGTTTCATTCATGTTTCATTAGGTTACTGACCACGTATCGCGCTTTGGAGCGCCTTTCGCAGAGTGAATTTAATCTAGATCAGCTAGAAGCGGCGGCTACCGCGGCACAGAGCTCTCATGGAACTACTTTGCTGGTGCCTGGAACAGCCGCCGGAGTTCCTGGTGCTTCCCTGATTGGACGGAAGGAGCGAAATCACGCGTTGACCATACGAGATGTCGAGAGAGAACGTGGAAATCAGCTGTCGAAATATGAAAGGAACATGATGATCTTTAATTGGCTCCACACTTTGGACGACAGTGCGGTCGTAGATAGCGTTGAATAAGGAAACTTCTCCAACATCTCCGCAATTCCGACAACGTACGACCTATCGTGCCTAAGTCTCTTCCTCTTCGATATTCCTTTATCGAAGACGCTTCGTTGACACTATATTGCCGCATCTCGAAGAATAATATGTAAGGCTTCTTTACTGTTAACTATACTGAATTATGACGTCTATAAAAAAAATATAGGTATATAAATCTTTCTCTTACATACCATTCATCGACATAAATTAGTTTTTTTTTAAATGCTCCATTTTCATTCCATAAAATTAAAAAAATGTAGAAATTCGATCCCCTCTTAATCGTTTATAAATTTTCGCTGACAATATCAGATATATTCAGATTAATCTCTGGTAAAGTCAAGAGTTGTATCAATCTTTCTCTTACATATCATTCATCGACATAAATTAGTTTTTTTTTCAAATGCTCCATTTTCATTCTATAAAATAAAAAAAATGTAGAAATTCGATCCCCTCTTAATAATCCTTTATAAACTTTCGCTGACAATATCAGATATATCCAGATTAATCTCTGGTAAAATCAAAAGTTATATGTGGTTTATTTTATTCTTCCCTTATCTATTTAGATATTTGGAAGATTAGGATGCATTTTACGCAATTGGGACAAAGACGAGTTGACATTTAACAGAGATAAAGTGCGTATTCGTTAGGTGAAAATTAATAAGTGATTATGTAATTTAATCTATACGTATTCTACGTTAATGAATGTTATCCTATTTTAATTAAAATAAGTCTCATTATTAAGATTACGACTATCTATTTATAAATTGAAAAGAGAATCTGGCATTTAAGTTTATTTTATTGAATACAAAAGGTGTAAAAAGACTAATTTATTCCGATGTACATTGTGCGAGAATAATCGCTTCTATGAATGTGATGTATAGTATGATTTTATGTCATAAGCGTGATCTCTCGCATCTGATGTCATAATTCAATATAGCTGCAATAATAAGCCAGAAGCTATAACTAAAGTAACTATCACAAGACATCCGTCCCTCCTCGTTTAGTGACACCGATTGATGTTGCTTTAACGAGTGTATCTGAAGCATTTCGCGTGAAAAGAAAAACCGTTTAATTGACAAAAAGCATATATGCGTGCAAAATATTGGGCCTTATAGCGAATTCGGTCGTTTGATTAATTGATTATTCCATACTGATGCGCACTAAAGGCACATAAAAGTCTAACAAAGAAACATACATAAATATATGTGATAAATTGATAATATAAATCAAAATATAGGAGATACGTATTCTTTCATAGGTATTCTTATGGATATTAAGAGAATATAACATTCTCTTGAAAAAGATCGATTTTTACGTTCTTAAGTGTATACTGTTAAAGCAGTAAGTGTTGCAAAACGAAAGTTTGTAATTTTAAAAGTACTTTTTTAAAAAATATATTCCAGTTTTTTTGAAAATATTATCTCTCTTAATGAAAACTGAGAAATTGTTATATCTTTTAACCACGCAACATAAAAGGTTGCTGTAATATTGCAATATTACTACAATATTACTGAATCGATCTGCGTATGGGAAAATACTCCGTCGTTTTTGGAAATTAAAAAAATGTTCAGACACGAAATTAAAACTTATTTAAAGATAAACTTAACTGTATATAAAAAATTCTAAAATTTTCGGAAACGATAGTGAGTGATGAGATATTTTCATGGGTTTTTTCGAAAGTACAAAAATATAACGTAAATGTATTTTGGCTGATAAGATATCCAATATATCATTGTATTATTTAGCAGAAATTATTTTTATATGTTGGCTATTTTATCGGTTGAAATGCTTATGTTCTGCCATTGCATTGTATATCTCAAATGTAACAGCCTTTATAGTGTGCATTAATATGGAGTAGTGAAGGCGACTAAATTGGTTATTAGATACAAATTGAAAAATCGACTTGGAAATATCCCTAAGGGTAATACGAGGAGTATACGCTTGTGCGTATACTTTTTGCATTTTAACGATTAACTAATTATAGAGATATTTTATCCAGATTTTTTCCAATAATTTATTGGTTAAATTAAAGAAATAATGTTTAAAATTAGAAATATTTCTACGATGACGTCATTACAATATTTATGTGCGGGATTTTATGAACTTTTTACGTAGAACTCCTTTACAAATCAGTATTCGCAAATTCAGTTTGCCAAGAGATATTTAATAGTATGAATTTATAGACTAATTTTAGTAAATATTTAATAATTTTAATAATTAATAATTTAACACATTGAGCGCCAGCGACACACACCGTGTGCCACAGATTTCTATGATTTCCAGCAATATATTAAAATAATTAATCAAGGTTCTTAAATTACAAAAAAATAATTTTCGAACATTGGATAGTTTCAAGCTTCAACTCTTGAGATACTCAATAAAAATTGGTAGGCGCTCAATGTGTCAAATTATTTAACATAATTTAATAGTTCGTTAAATTTGTAGTTTGCATTGAAAAACAGCGTAGAAAAGAGAATACATCTTGTGTTAAGTACTTAGACACATATCGATAAGAAATTTTTGATCAATGGAACGTAAATGTATCGAAGGATGCCAACTGTTGATTAAAACGACAAAATTTTAACAATAATTGTAGACTGCGAATCCTATAATGTTTTACATTTCCAATTTGCAATTAGTATGGACGATACCCGTCGGAAATAATATCGTGTGTAAAGATTATCGATGCGAGACGCAATCCAGAGAACTCTACTTATGAAATATGAACGATAATACGCGTAATTTAGCGTATCTACTAGAATTTTTGTGATTATATATCCAGTATGAAGAACTAAAGTTGTCTGAAATTTCGTTAATTCTAAACGATATATGAACAACTTGTTGATGCCACAGGATAAAATGTTATTCGGAATACATGCCTAAAAATATTTAATTCTATGCGTGTTCCTTATGAAAGTCTTAATTGTCCAGTGTAAACAGAAAATCCGGAACAATTATACTTCCTGCCTGACTAATGATAGATCACATCAGTATTATGTGCTGCGACCAGAGAGATACCAAGTGTTTTTGGAATAGTAAATGGATGTGTGATCACACAATTAATGTGCTTTTATGTATATTAAATGTTTTCCCTCTTCCAAATGTAATATTCGCTGACATCGCGATATTATCTGATGCAGAGAGTAATGAAACACAAAAATATAAGATTTATTAAATATCCTACATGTATATATATGCGTAGACCTTGTCTTTATAAGTAAAGATGGGAAATATAGAAGCAAAAAAAAAATAGGTAAAAAAACTGTGATTGTTGGATTCTTAATAGAAAAGAAGAAAAAAATTCAAGCTTTCCAACTTTATAGCATAGTTTTTTTATCGAATGACTAGGATGTGAGATCATATTACATAACAACATTCACGCGCGTTAATCACAATTTAATTATTAATATAATAGAAAATAATTACAATCCGTTAATAAAAAAAATTAGGAAATTAATTTTTTATCTAGGTTATGTTTATTTTTATTAATTAAAAGTTAACAAAGATATAGCTGCAAAGATCGATTTAAAGAATCACAATACATATACATATATAGAACACACATTTAAATACAGGCACCCGACATACACATAAAAATGTATAGCAAATAAAATTAAAATATAATATTCTATCCTGCAATAACCAAAATGCTCTTATAGCATTAGATATTTTTAATCTTATTTCTTTAGTAAGATTGTCAAATTTCATTATCTTTAATATAAATTAGATACAGTCATATGCAGAAATATGATTCATAAACGCAGGTACAAATTTTAACTTTTATAAAAAAAATTCTCATTTTAAAAACTATATTTAAATAAATGTCTGCTTTTTTAATTTATTTCAAGATATTCTTTTTAAATTTGAGATTATTTTGGATCTATAAAAATCTAACTTTTATTTAGAACTTTCTTTTATTTAACAAAATTCCAGAAGTAATCGTTTAAAATAAATGATCTCTTTATGCATACATATAAATGTTTGCATACTCATATAAATAATATTACTCTTTGGTTGTTTAAATCCAAATTTCAAGGATAAATAACATAATTTAATAAACAAAATAAGTGAATAAGAAAGTATTTCATTGGTGAAAACACTTTAATGAACAAGTAGAATTATAAAAAATTGGCGTATTGAGTATTGATACTCAAAAATTACAATACGATTCGATTAAGATGTATACTTTATAGCAGACCTTGTCTTTTGAGATCTTCATATGTTTTACGATTGACTACATTGCCAAGCGAGTCTTCAAATTCTTCTTCCTGCTCTGGTTGCCAACGTTCGGCTTGTTTCTGCGCTTTTAGTTTTTCCCATAAAGCAAGAGCGTCTTCAATCTGAGTGACATTAGCAAAGTGCGCTGTATTTGGAATACCAAGACAACGCATGCCATGTGCATGTCTCCATTCTGCAAAATGTCTTTGGAATGCTTTCGGACCTTTATATGTAAAGTTTCCACAAATCTCACAGTTGTAACTAATATTTAAACCGTGCAGCTTGTATAACCAGTAAGGTATAGGCTTTCCGTCCCAACCCAATGGTAAATTCTTTGGGTTATATGGAACCTCATTGTCGTCTTCTTCTTCTGATTCACTTGCACTTGCTTCTGCATCCGAATCTCCCCTTTCACCCTCAGTTCTCGCTTGTTTCCTTTGTACATTCTCCTTTGTAGCCACTCGTTGACTGGATATTAATTCAGCGAGCTTATATACATGAGCTTCGAATCGTGCAATTTCTTTTTGTTTCTCGGAATCTTTGCTTTTAGCTGATTTTCCCTTTCTATTTTTGGCTAATAGATTGGGATCTAAGGAGGCTTCACCTTTTGTGCTGAAAAGTCTTTGCGCCCGTTCCTCCAGAGTACCACCACACTTGAGTCCTAGCGCCATCAAAGCTGATTTTAATCTATCTAAACCAAGAGACGCCAGTTCTTCCCAAGATGAAAATGCAGACAGTTCCAAGTGTGCTCCAACATGAGCCAGAGCGCTTCCAGTCTCTTTAGGCCAACCAGGAAAGGTATTCTTTTCCCATTGAATTTGAAAATCCTTATTAGCTTCTTCAACCTCTGTACTTATGTCGAGTAGAGGTCTGACTCTGTTCAGATATTCCGTCAGGTACCATAAGAGGGATTCGACGTATCTCTGATAATCTGCATTCTTTCTTTCTCTAGGAATGTCAAATAAGTGATCAAAAGTCGACAAGTAAGTTATATAATCTATCTTTTCTATCCCCTTAAGATTAATATATTTCTGATAACACTCATGAAGATCGAGATATTTTCCGTAACCCTCCTCATCCGTAAACTCGACAAGATTAGATAGTTCTTCGGTTGGATTTTCTCTCATTTTAGCTAACTCCTCGAATTCAACGGACATAGGAACACTGATCTCGTTAGGATGTCGACGATAGAATTCTTTTATAGACTTCAAACGTGAGTAAAATTCTGAAAATTCATTTGGACCGGAGAGTGCTTGAACCTAAAACCATAAACGAAGTAGCTAAAGCCTACTTTTGAACTTATGAAACAGCAGTCGTTAGAAAGGTTAGGAATCATTAAAACTGGAAGTTCTAATGCTTTCTTCTAGAAATTATAAAATTTATAATCTTAAATTACAATGTACCTCCTCTTTTCTCTGTCCATCCTTATCCTCATACAAATCTTGCAAATGCATCGTACTGTCCGTAAACTGATCCAACAACATCTTCAAACGATGCTCCGAATTGATGTTCTCGCGATGTCCCGCCTTTTTATGCAACATCTCCTTCACCATCGCGTCCATCAACCGCTCTCTTTCTTCATGATATCGTCGTTGTTGTTCCAATATTGTTTCCATTTCTACTTTTAAATTCAATCTACTTTGATCGACTCAAAATCACATTAAAATCAAGTCAGATTCTTTTAACGATAGTACGACTGGAACAGAACATTCCATTGATCCAAAAGTGTTCCGTCGATGATAGCGACATCTGATCAGATGATTTTAAAAATATGAACTAAATAGTGTGTTACTTACTGGGTAATATAGATTCTTACGTATATGAATTTATTATACACATATATAAATTTCATTACATACATAAAAAAACTTAATTAAGAAATATAATACATTACATTAAACAAAGAATTTCTTAAGACCGTACAATTTATACCTACTTCTCTTTTGTATAGTAAATTTAAAAAGAAAGCATGAACCAGAAAAAAGCTTAACCAGAAAAAACACTAGTTGTAATGTGATAAACTTGCTTCTTTCTGATCGGTTTTTTATTAAATTTGCGTATAAAAGAAAGTTCTGTAAAATAGATAAATATGATGTGTACTAAAATAAGGAGATTGAGTAATATAAATAAAAACTTGATAAATAGAGAAAAGTAACAATACCTTTTTTATTTTATTAAAATAATAACAGCTTTTTTATTTTAATGTCTAAAATAATAAAGAAACGTAGTGTTACTTTGTTTTGTGTAAAAGATACAGAACGAAGTTATAATTAATGCTTAGCGGTTATATATATTATACGTATGGCAATGATGTATTACGTAAATACTGTAAATAATAGATTTAACAATGCAGAGAAAATTAGTGTACGTGACTGGAAAAAAGGTGATAAAGTGCAACTAAGATTATAAAGATGAAATTAGCGGTGGCTAAAGAACCATTCGAGCAGTCTTCGACGTTATCAAGAAGTTCTTTATAGGCAACCACTGACTTCTTCGTTGACGATGTAGAAACCAAGCCAACCGAAGAATCTTTGAAGAGAAGATCTTTTGTGCCATTGAATGGTCCGTAAATGTGAATTGGTCTTCGAGCGTTTACGCGATATCCTAGCCAATCTTCCAGCTTTAATAAAGCTAGAGTAGTATCCGTCCTAGAGATTTGCTCAGCATCTGTCTTACGACCAACAACCTAAAGAACATTACAATTTAATCGATTTATGCAAAGAAATATAATTTTTTCGATATCTTAAACCGATATCTTTGTTTTTGTCTTGTATTAATATATTGTTTATTAATTTTGTATTTCTACATGTAGTATATTATTACTTTCGTATTTAATTAATGATAAAATTGTACATAATTATTGAATCAATAATACTAAAAATTTTTAATAGAAATGTTTGATTTCTTAATTACTTCATTAAAAATTAATTTTGATTAAATGATATAAACTATATAAAAAGTAATACAATATTTTTTTTATTAGATTTATATAAATATATTATACAAATGATCTATTATTATATACATGATTTTTAAAAAAATTATTTACCTCGCTATCAATTGTCACCGATAATGCACAGTCTTCGCCAACATTAAATCCTGATTGTTGGGCCAAACTTCCATTTTTACACAGAACACGGTACGTGTTCGAATTGACAAAGTAGTCTGTGTAATAATAATTTAATAATTATTGACTACTAATTAAAAAATTAAGAGTAATACATAGCATCGTTTAAATTCAGTAAAAATGTTTTCTGTAATTACGAATAGAAAGTTACAAAAATAAAAAAGTTTGAAGAAAACTATTCATATTAATATTTGAAAAATTGATGTATTAAAAGCTAGCATTCTGTAAAATAATCTTTGAAATTAAAAGAATTAATTATAAATTTTTTTTTAGCTTCAATATATAATATTTATAATAATATTGATTGTGCTCTCTCTCTCTTTTTATTACCGTGAATATTTGACATGTCGATAAACGCTACATCGCCGACTTCTTCAGTCAGACACTGTATGGCTCCTTTGTCACTGTAATAGTGATTAGTTTCATTCACTGCGCAGGACGGATTATTTTCATTTTTACAAGCCGAGCAAAGTTTAGACGCTACGTCCGAAGGGATGGCAGTGCTCGAGTGGTCGGAATCTTCTATTCCAGGGGTACAAGCGCTAGACAACAGTTCGGATACCAACAATGGATAGTCACAGCGTTTAGATGAGATGATATTGTTTATTCTAGCGGCATTGATAAAACTCAACCAGCCGAGTCCGCCGTATTCAGGGAAACATGCCTTTTTGTCTTTTAAATCGTGAAAGTTCTTTATGAGATAATTATCATCTTTAGGCTCACGCATCACAGCGAGTGTCACACTATTCTTATCCAGTTCAGTTTCGCTGTATAGAACTGATGACAGATTATAAACTCTGCAAGCAAATTAAAGAAGTGTCAAGTAATGCCATAATTTCACGTACGTTTTCCAAAATGTCGGCGATACTTAAAAGTTTCTGCTTACTTTCGTGCCAGGTAACCATAGTTGGAATCAATGACCATTATATCCGTTCGATTTTCTTCTATATCACGGAAACATTGAAATGTGGAATTTGATTTGATACAAGAAATGCTCGGTGCCACACCGAGAGCCTTCGCTGCTTTCGCCACCCATTTGCACTTGTTGGTTTCTGGATCGCCAATCGTGCACCAACGAATGTGCTTGCCGCAGGTTTTAAAATTTTCAAAATTGATGTCTCTTTCCTTCAAATACGTAGCTGTACTCATTTTCGGCAAATCTATGCCCCAGCTATCCTCTTGTATAATTTTGCTTAAACTAATTTTCCATTGTTCCAAATTCGTTTTATGTATCCAGTCTATTAACTTTCCCTTAAGAGAATCTGCGACTTTCCTGAAAAAAGCGAATTTTAATTGAAATACATCCAGGCGGATTATTTCAAGAAAAGACCTAAATAACTTGTTATGGTTTTCAGAATTTATTTTCAGAAAATTTGCAAGAAAAGCTGTCTTTCTCATTTATCTTTACTACTATTTGCGTACGTTTTAGCTGCGACGACGCTCCACGGTTGTTGGAGCCATGTGCAAGGATTTGGAGTGGACAAAGGATGAATGTTGCCATCTGGACATAAAAACTGATACGACTCATTTGTCTGGAACATACAGAAAATAATTAATATAATAGTGTACAATATGAATAATTAATAACTGCCTATACATATATGATGCTTGTATGAATTGCGATTGTAATCGTCTTTTTTTTTCAAAATCAAAATGAAACATCCTACTTACTCTGAGATATTCCTGTACGTATTGAAGCGCTACATATGCCACATTACCATAACCATAAGTTAGACACTGCAAAGCTCCGAGATGTCCGTGATGGTGCATATTATTATAACTACAAGTAGACGTGTTGTCACAAAGAGCACATAATTCTGGATATTTCTTTTCTGAAAAATATTATATTACTATTAGTTATATACTTTTTAGAAATAGTGCAATTTTTATTCTTGAACTTCATCAAAAAAACTTTAGGATTTAAAAAAAATTTTTTTCTCAATTTAACTAAGTGATATTACTGCGGTAGTGAATATGTATGCGTCAATGCTGAAAATCTATCAGCGTCGCGGGGGGGACTACATACGCAGTATACATATAAATTCACACAATATAATAAACATTAACATCTTGTTTTCAAGACTCGATTAGGCTTTACACTTTCTAAGATTTTTAAATCATACGAGTCAATTGTTATTATCTTTCATTAGATTTTTTTAAAATTGAAATATACATATAATATATAATTGATATAATTGCATGTAATATAAGAAAATAATGTTTATTTTAACATAAAAAATGTTACTTAGTTCTTCATCGATGGTCTTATTAGAAGTCCATTCGCCTGGTCTACAAGCTCTTCCAAAGAAATTCTTGAGATTTCTGATCTCGTTCTCAATAGCGGTCATATCATCTTGGCATTGCAGAGGGTTTACTAACAATGAGTTTTCAAAATGCTTGAGAATATAATCATTAAGCCATTGAGATTTGCTAAAACCAGGATGGCAAAATCCTTTATCCTTCAAACGTTCAAGACGTTGGCGAGGAGTTAGCTGTATGTGCGTTATCTCTGTGGGAATCACTGCTACCATTTGGAATTCAAAGCTCTCTGTGGAAATTAAATTATATTTATATATTAATTTTTTTATCACAACGTGCAATAACACGTAACCAAAGAATTTAAGATTTTAAGAAAATATTGTATTTATTTTAATATTTTTTGTTTTAATACTAAATTTACAACTTATTTAATACTCCATAACAAAATATCATTTCAAAAAACGATTTAGAACTTAGTGGTTATTAATTAGTTTGATTTTTAGTTAATTTCAGAGGGGATTATCATATTAATGATAATTCATAGTTCTCAGAAAGTTGTACTTCGAAAACATTTAAGCAATACGTTTTAATTCATTTATCATTAGTGTTTTGTTTGATTCTAAATTATTAATGTTTCAATTTAATGTTAACTTGATAAAACTTGGCGTATTAATTTTTGGTAATTTTATGTTTATTACTAATTCTGATTTTTTATTACAAATTGAATTCAAATTTCTTTCTCACTCGTATATCTAATTGGTGTTGCGTCTACAAATACTAATATGTTATATCCATTTTTTTAAAGTTTTTTAATACCTTGCTGTTTGGTTCTATGCCTAAGTTGAATAATAGGTTCAATTTCAAATGGATAGAATTGGTTTAGCAGCAACAATTCTTCTGCATTAAAAACACCGAAATCAGCCTCGCCTTCAGCTAAGCGAATAGCGCACTCGGCGCTGTCCGACACACGCAAACACGACACTGTAGAATTTCCTCGTTGCACAACCAAGCACGCACTATCAGTTACCACATCAACAGGTGCGCAGAATTTGTCTAAAAATTGTGAATCGATCGACACATAGAAAAAAGTAATTTAATTAGATATAATTTGATGAAATAATTTTTGGAGAATAATAAGAATAAAATGAATGTCGAAATACTCTTTTTTAAGTACTGAATACATTTTTATTATTTTTTATTCAAGTTTATTTCAAATTCTTTTTAATCGAGGTAATTTGATCTTATATATTTACACTGCAACAAAGTCTAATTTTATCTGTTTGTGTATGAGGAGTCATACATATACTTAAATAAGACTTCTGAGAAGATTTATAAAAAGATAACATTATAACGACATATTTATAATATAAAGTACTGTAATATATTTTATATCGATAAGTTGTTACATCAATTGCAATCGAATAATTTGATCATTCTCAAGATATCTATTTATTTGATCCTTGATAATAATGCAAAAAATAAGCGTTATTATAAGTTGCTGATTCAATCTTCTCAAAAGTTAAGTTGAATATGTTCATACATTTTAATTGGATGAACATGTATCCATTAATATAATAATATAAATTTTTTTCTCTATCATCTTTCTAATATAAAGATTTAAAATTTCTTTAGGACTGTGTTCAGAAATTTTACCCATTAAATAACGTTTAACATTTAGTAAACAATAGATAAAATAAATTTGAATAAATGAATGTACTACAGAATTGTTCAGAATCACTGTTTGTTCATTAAAATTTACATTTAAGTAATATGCATATATTTAATAATAATTATTATAAGTAAAGTACGAGAAAATACAAAAAATTTATTACAACTTTTGTATGAATGGATGATTTTGTTAAAATATAATAAAAATAAATAATTTTGATATAAAAAAAATTCACTTACATTTCTCTTCTTGTGCACATGCAACTGCAACGAGCAAAATTATCCAAACGAGATTCCTCATTGTTGATTTGGAGACAATATTCAGAGAGAGAGAGAGAGTTCAAGACTAACTGAAGCGATTGAATCGTTGAAGCGATTTAGCGTTTCGAACATGGATAGCAAAGGGGAACTAGGTGTGCCTCTTAACGAACGATAAGAAGCCTCTGATAACGAACACACACGCCCTATGTGCTAGACATGCATATATCGATATATTTATATTATCGTCATTTCTGCAACCATGTTGTCATACCCTTCGGAGATCAGATTATTGGTGCAAATCATCGATTACATAAAAACAGTGCGACATTTATTACAAGTTCACTTTAAATGATTTATAGGAACACTAACTAAAGTTACCAATGAAATACATGTAATTGAAATCAATATGTAATTTTATAATAAGTACAATATATAAATGTATTAATAACTTATGATATATGTATTTGTAATTAGATATGTAATTGTAACTAAACATAAATAAATAAAATAAATTTTAAATTTAGACTCTTATACATTAATTGAAATCGGAAATTCGAGAAGTAATTATGCATGTATGAAGATGCATATATACACGATTAAAATCACTGCTTCGTCTTATTTTCTTGATCTATTTTTAAGACCTATCATGGTTTATATTTTCGGAAGTTGTCAGTAAATGTCCTTAATGTTTCTTTAATTACATCATGACGAACAATGGTGAGTCGTCAATGACGAGTATGTTCCAAGATAAGCAATGTATTACTTGCTTATCAGGTGATAGCTTTCTACGAAGGTATCAGCCTATGACTAAACATCAATGAATATGAATTCCCTAAAGGCGCGAAACATTTATTAATTTTAAATTATAATTTCTATTCGGCTTTCCGGTATAAAAAAGACGTTTATATTATTGTATGTTTTTAAGATTTACTTGTTCTGAGATGTAATCCGTAATCAACAATTGTTAGTAATACAAACGAATTTTTAATTCCAGCCAATAAATACTGTAGGACTTTATTTGAGGATCAATAAATAAAAGAGGCCGGCAAAACCTGAGGTATTCTATATACACGAAAATAATAACAAAATTTTGAAGGATTTAGACCGTGAGTTAAATTTACTATTTCTAAGATTTACTTAGAATATTAAGTCATATTCTAAAATAAATTATATAAATTATAGGCTTATTCTATTTTAATTTCAAATCCTTTCATCGTCATTCGATAAAAATAAAAAAGATAACGTAAATATATTTTCGTTTATTACATAAAACAGCATAATGCTTTACAGCTTGTATCTTTTTGTCATTGATAATAGGGAAACGGCATTCATACGGTATTTTATTGTATCCAGACGAACAAAATACGCAATTTTTCATGCTGCCATAAAAATTATGCACGTACGAGTGTCAGAATAATTTGTCGGATAATTACGAGTATATATTGAGTCGATGGCTGTGTATTTCCGCTTAAGTCTGTGTTAAGAAGAGCAATCTTAATTTCTAGAAATAGTAATTACTCTCTAGGGATGATTACATTAATTACAACGATCCTCGGTATGTTTGCACATAATAAAGTGCATGCACAATAAATTAAAGACCGTAATGATTACGTATTATATCGAGGATACTTAATCTTGTATTAAGAAGTACATTGATATTGTAAATGTACGTGTATAGTGATGTAATCGTGACGGGATCATTAATATACGCGAGTTTGCAGGATTTAGTAGGATACACGTAATCGCAGAAGAAAATAGCCAAGAATATTCATCATTGACATTTATTTGCGTGGACGGCACCGTAATGCCATTAGCGAATGTTTGCGATGGTATCCCTCATTGTCCGGACTCATCGGACGAAGTCGGAACACTATGCCGTCACGTTGTGTAAGAAGATATTTTCCGTTAACTTTCGCCATTAGTCACTAAACGAAGAGTATCGCAAAAAAATCGGATGTTTTTCCGACTAAAGATAAAACAGTTAAAGTACTGATAAGACTTATTCTTTTTTACTTTCATATGTGCCTATGTCCTATTCTATCATACTCGAAAAAAGTCTTAAACTCTCACATATTTTACGTGTTTGGCTTTTTATTACAATGTTGTAGCATTCTTTTGTTAAAATATTTTTAATAAAAATGCATTTACGTGTGTATATTCGTTTCCACACGTACGCACTTGCATGGCATGAATCACGATTGTTCAGATTACTAATATTTCCTCTGAAACTATTAATTGCGTTAAAAGAAATCTTAGATAAATAACAATTCAATTAAATACGCTTGTTGCATAAGAGATACTTAAAAGATGTCTTTTAGATACCTTTTAGACATAAGACATCTAAAAACCGTCTTTTAGATATCTTATGCAACATAAATGTTATCTGGGAATGCAATTAACAGAATATGCTGTAATAATTTTAACAATAATGTATACGCAATAATTTGCACAATTATTATGGGGAATATTACGTATTATTAAACCTTTTTTGCAGATGTCCCACTTATATGTACAGATGCAATTACGGTGCCTGCGTGAGCCGTACGGCGCGATGCAACGGTCTGGTGGATTGTATGGACGCTAGCGATGAAGTCGCTTGTGACCGAGGCGCTAATGATATTTGTTCCGACAAAGATTTTCAATGTTCGACTATTTATCAAGAATGTATACCTTTTGCCGAGGTGTGCAATGGTCTGTAATTATCAGATTAATTTTGTTAAATTATCCTGGTATAAAATTATTCGATATAATGTAATCTTTTTGTACTTGAAAAATGTTATCTTAGTGTTTTCCCCGCTTTCTCATCAGGCTACAAAGATTGCTCGGACGGGAGCGATGAAAATGCAAAAACCTGCCAAGAGTATATATGTCCCGAGCATACGTTTCGTTGTTCGTACGGAGGTTGCGTTCATCAGGAAGTGGTTTGCGATAGCGTGAAGGATTGCGTCGACGGCACTGACGAAGACTCGAGGACTTGCGCGGCTGTCAATTGTGAGGGTTACGAATGTTCGCAACACGAATGCCGGTTGGTTAATTGAATTATTTCTTGTCGTTTGAAAAATTAAAATTCGGATAGTTTATTTCCTATTTTGTAGAGATCAAGAATTCGCATGCGAGAATAGACGACAGTGTCTACCGATGACGAAAGTGTGCGATGGTACTCGACACTGCGCAGATGCGTCTGACGAAAGTGCAAAACTGTGCGAAGCACGTGAGTACGTATATTATGAATAACTCGCGACCTAGATTGAGTAATTTCTTCGTAATTTTATTTTATGGTTAAAAGGTTTTATATTAACTCTGAAATTAATTATTTTATAAAAAAAATTGATTTTTTCGGTCAATATTCATTATTTTATTCAAATAAATTTCTCTGCGCGCAAAGTATCCGTTTCCAATACTTCCAGAATATCAAAACCACTTTTCGTAATTATACATATTTAATAAAAGTTATTAATAATAATCTCTCTCTCAGAAAGGTCGCTGCAGAACTATACAAAAAGTTTGTGTCAAATAACTCTAACCAGATTATAAATGTTCTTTTTTAGATTTTCATTCACAAAAAACAATAATCAATGATTTTTTGTTCAAAAATTCAAAATAACTTTAAAAGGTGATTGAGCAATTAGCATTGTTTTTTATGACGGAATGCTATAACAAATATTTTGAATTCTTGATAATTTTTTGATGCTTCTGTGTATTCGTTATTTTTTTATCTATGCAGATGTCCTGAAAATTGGTTTCGTTGCGCTTACGGCGGATGCATTCGGCCGGAGTTGAAGTGTAATTCTCGACTTAATTGTTACGATTGGAGCGACGAAGACGAGTCGTTATGTGGGATAACGCTGCCTGAAGGTGCCTGCCGATTGCCCGCCGCAAAAGCGGGAATCCATTATAGCGTGAGTGGATGCTCCAGATGTCGGCCGGGCGAAGTCGTTCCCGAGCTCACTCGCCTTGACTATGTTTGTGATGTGAAAGGCTCCTTGCAAGGTGCCAGTGAAATTTACTGTCAAAATAACCGATGGTTTCCCAGTGTTCCGAGTTGTGCCTTCAGTAAGTAACGTTTAGTTTGCGATCGGAACGAAATTTGTTTTTTTATGTATCGAATAAAATATTTCTTTACGACTAATCGCTTATATAATATATTTCAGAGAATGAAACGGAAGGTGTAACGTGTCCAGCACCGTCTGAGGCGCATGATGCGATTAGACGATGCGAGGCGATGTGGGGTCCTCACAAAGGGTGGTTGCCTTGTGACCGGGCCCTCCCGGTTGGCACGAGAGTTTTCCTCGAATGTCCAGCATTTTATGAGCGCCACAAAGGATCTTCCAGTGTCATGTGCCTCCACGACGGCACGTGGAGCCAATCACTTTTGAGTTGTACTCCTATCTGTGGGATGAGAGACTCCACAGGTTTGACAATCGACAGGTTGCTCACTTTCAATGAATTAAAATTAACACCAATTAAATGTGTGTAATCATTTATAAAAAAATTTTAATAACAAAGTATTATATTTTTAGAATTAATAAACCATCATTATTTTGTCGTATTTATTGACATATTTAGAGTAAATGTATAAGTATTTTTAAAAGTGATCTACAATATCTGAAGATAGTAAGCTGTAAAAAATTGATTAATGATAGTCGACTATTCCTTCAACATTCGACTGTGATTGGTCAATTTCTTACATCTTACAAGTTACTATTTTTTCATTATAGTCAGTCCGCTGTTTTTAATTGTTATAATGTAAACAATTTTTTTATTAATATAATATAACGCGTAGTAATTTAAACTTTTAAATTTGTACAAGAAATGTTAATATTTTTAGCGGCAGCATTGATTGTAAAGGGTTGGAGTGTTGAAAAGGAAGAGACACTACCATGGCAAGCCACCCTCTTCTCGCATGAAGATGGCCAGTGGACATTCTTTTGCGGCGGCACGTTAATAGCAGAACGTGTTGTGTTAACTGCAGGCCATTGCGTTTGGAAGACTGCCGCAGATACGATACGCGTCGCTTTCGGGATTCTCTCGAGTGACTTAAATCAAATAGGGGAAAACGCACAAGTGATCGACGTGGAAAGCATTGAGCTGCAGAACGCGTATCAAGATCACGAGAGTAATTATGGCTCGGACATCGCGTTGCTAATTTTGAAAAAAGCTGTGACTATTACCACGGTTGTCGGACCAGTTTGCATTCCTTGGGATTCCAATGCGATATTACTGGAATATCAGCGAAACAGTGGGCTTGGATTAGTTGCCGGTAAGTAAAATCTTACCTTAAAAATTTGATAAAATTAAAGAAGAAAGATATTTAAAAAATTAAATGCTTTTGTTCAAAAATATCACACACAAATTTTTTATTTAATATGTTCAATAGATTCCTTATATTGCTTTATCTTATTTTATGCATATATGCATAATATATATATTATACTTAATATACATGTACAAATTATTCACGTAATGCTTTTCTCTCGAAAGAAAAAAGAAATAATTAAGTACGTTTCTTTTTAAAGATAAGATTGTTCTGTTATTATACCATAATTGCTTTAAAATGAAATATTCAACCAGTTTAAAGTTCTAGTTAAAGATTAAAATTCATGTTGCTAACTCTATGATTGGCAATAATTAATAAATGGATTTTTTTAACAGTTCCTGGAACTTGAGAAATTTTTCAGGCATGGGACTAACGGAGAACGACACATTCAGTTCAGTCTTGAGGGTAACTACAGTGAAAATTATTTCCGACGACGAGTGTCGTAAAAACCAAAATAGAGATTTCCGGAAATATTTGACTTATACTTCTTTCTGCGCCGGATGGGCGAATGGTACTGGAGTATGCAATGGAGACAGCGGCGGGGGTTTGGTGCTTCAGCGACCGAATTCTAGCGTCTGGGAAATTCACGGAGTCGTTTCCGTAAGCCCACGGAAATTGGGTACCAATATATGTGATCCAAATTTCTATGCTGTTTTCACGAAGGTATAATAATATAAATATACTTATCAATGATGAACACGTTATATAAGTCCTATATTTTGTCACCTACAAGTAATCCTTAGTAAAATCTATAATCTCTTTTATTTTATTTTCTATAATATCCTTTCACACATAATAATTACATTAATTATTAATTGTCATTATTATTACTTATCATTTATTACATTAATAAACTATAAATAAATGATATCAAGGGCGATATAAGTCAAAATTTAACTCATATTGCCCTTGACATCATTTATTTATTTTTATATAACGAGTCATTATTTCTTTTGTATTAATTTGTTATTAATAAACTATGTTATTTATAATATTAATATGTTTACGTAATTTATAATATTATTAAATTATATATTACTTTGTTAGATTTTTGATATTATACAGGTTTCTATGTACGTCAATTGGATTCATGAAATTATTGAGAGCATACCTACAATCGGTTTACCTGATTTTGATCAACAACCAAACAGAGATAACATCATTGTTTAAGCAAGCATAAATTAAATTGATTTTAATTATAATACATATTTAAATAAAATTTAACCATAAATGTTTGTTATACATAATATATAACATATTTTGTATAGTACATCTACAACAAGTATATATACGTGTATGTATGTATACGTAGGCATTAACTAAAAAATTGGATTATATTTGTATAAATCATCGATTATTTATTAAATTATCACTTCAATAAATTAAATGCCATTTCTGTTAGTATTATTCATGGTGGAAGGAACTCAGGTGTTTGAATATTTAACGTTTGAATGATTAAAGTTCAAAATTAAATTTATTTACTTATAATAAAGTAACATAATTTTATTCTTCTTGAAACGCGAAAATTTGGCACAAGAAATCTGATAAAATAATTTAAATTAAATACTTTTGACTGAATAAGATTATAATTTTTTATGTTAGATTTAGCATTCTATGATAAACAACATTAATTTGAAATGTAAAATGCAAAATGTTCGGATAAATTTATATTATAAAGAATTAAATAGTATTTTTGTTTAGCTAACTTTGTTAAGTTTTTGCGGAGTATAGCGTGCTTTTGTTTATGTAAGGCCGCCGACCTCTACTGCGATGATGAGATTACTGTATACGCGTTACCTGTATACGCGTTACCTGTTACCATTTACACTACACGCTTGAACAAGAAGATATAAGTATATATGTATATCGCAGTGGGTTTTTATCTCTCGAAATACGATTGCTAGTAATTCAGTAGTCCGCATGTGTAATTAACTTTCGAGATTAACGATATGTAAGCATATCGCGCGGCGACAACAATGACGTGTTCAGGCAAACATCTCGCATTACTTATTTTTTTGAAATAGAATTCGTACGCGACATAATATAAGAATTACAAATCACTGTTTTATTACAATCAGTATCATCTTTTTAATTTGGTATTTAGAATTCAACAAATCTGGCATTATATTGTAAATTTAAATATTACTATATTACTTTTCCCGGATTAAGAATGAGGAATAAAATGCTGAAAAGTGGAGGTGTGGCGGAGAGCCTTTAAAATCTAGGTATTCATTTTTAGTTTCTCAAACTGTCACTTACAAATTACCGAGGTGCAAATATTTAGATGGCCATATTTTTGAAATCCGACCAGAACCGAAATTCATCTCGGGAACGAACACCTGACTCCTTTCCACATGTATATATGGTCGTCCCCTTTTTATTTCTTTTCCTAGAAAACAAAAGAACGCTTTCTCTCGAGCAGCAGAAATGAACAGCATGGATATTGACAATATGTCAAAATAGTAATATGAGATTTATAATTTAAAAAATATTAATTGAAGCAGTGCGTGTTTAAATAATTGATTCATCTGATTGGTGAATATCTTCTTAATAAATATTACAATTCCATGCATTTTATGTCAATATGACGAATCTTTCAACCGTAAGTATAATAAAATTAAAACGAACAACATGTTTTAGCTTAAGATAGATACAATAAAACAAACAAAATAGAAAAATGAGGATTTATAAGCAAGATTAACTTTAGTCGAACGGTTAAAAAAATACTTTTCAAAAATTTAAAAACTTTAATTTGTTCGTACAATAATTTTATTTAATGTCATTTCCCGAAGACATTATTGTGTTTTTTTATAATTTGTATGTTGGTATTACATCACAAAGTCGACCATTTTGATGCAAAAGAAACAAAAAATACAGACAGCACCCAATAAAGATGAGTTAGCAACAGGTATAAGGTACGATGATGTATACATCTCACCGAGTCATATAAAATTCAACGAAGCCTTCGAAGGAGTTACGTATCGACAGCGTATTACTATCAAGAACGTCGGGTACAAATCAGCGCTTATTAGAATCTGCCCACTAAATTCTATAGTAAATATGTCTAGTATGCGTAAATCATAATTAAGTCATAATCAAGAATTTTTAAGTGAGAGAAATTTTCAATGATTATTATTTCTCAAAAGGCTTTTCAAGTAAAAACTTTGAAAAGTGGAATACAAGTGAGTCCTGGATTAAGTATAACAACATACGTGACTTACACATTTAAAAGAATGTCTATATCGCATGCAATAATTCCGATTGAGATCAATGGAAAGATTTTCGATTATTACGTGATATCTACCTTGGCCACCGAGTATATCAGTATCGAGCCGAAATCAGTAGATTTTGGTACTATTGACATTGGCTACTCCTCTGGTTTAAAAATAGTAACAATCCGTAACGAAGGAAACAAAAGTACTAGGTATTTGTGGTATTTATAGACATTTTTCGGACATATTAGAAATAAAATTGCATTAAAAAAAGTAACATATATATTTTTTTGCTCAAATATAGAGAATAAAGAAAATTTGTAATATAAAATAAATCTTGAAATGCTTTCATTTTAAATGCTCCAGATTTTCTATTGATCTCGGGCAAAATGATTTAGACTTAATGATAAAACCTCTTCGTGGAAGAATCAAACCACAAAAAGAAATAATACTTCAAATTGAATTAATGGGCATAAACGAAGGCATCTTTTATAGCGAATTTTGGTAAGATATCTTTGCTGTTCGTCATCGTAATTTTCGTTATCATAAGAAAGATTTGTATAAACTTCCTCTGCAGGATTAAGTCTACTCCAAATATACGTGTTCCCATCAAAGTGCATGTAATCGTGCCGAAATTAGTAGTTTATCATCCAAATACGACTGGAGATTTTACTCTCATCGATTTTCCACCTACGATAGAAAATACTTGTAGATACGATACTTTCGTCCTGCGTAATCTTTCATCTCGAGCCTCCAGTTTTGTTGTCCTTGGTGAAATCGATAATGAAGTAAAATGTATTCCGGTACAAAAATTGCACTACAAAAAATTAGAAATTTTAGCCAGTAGCGGATAATCAAAAGCAGTGTTTAGAAGTTTAAGATATAAAATAAGTTGGCATTCTATTTAAAATTTGTGTTTAAAATTTATAGAACTTTACATAAGTAGAAATAATAATAAATCAACATATTTAAGCAATTAAAATTATTTATTTAAACGTCATAAAAGTTTCTATCTAGAATTATTAAACATTTTTAAACACAAATGACTGAAACTAGCTTAAATTGGAATCTTTGCAATACGTAAATTTTATATGATTAATTAATTTATCCACTACTGACTTATGCTTTTAATCGGTCTGACTCGTACATAATGAGTAAGTTTTACTAAAATTATTTTTATAGGATATCGATCCCAAGCAACATCCGACTTATAATATCTTTGAAATTCATCCGTTTGAAGGGCGAATAGATCCATTTCAAGGTATCATCTTTGAAGTAAAGTAAGTTTAATTATTGTTGAATAAAAGCTATAAAAGAAATAAATATTTCACACACACACACACACACATACATTAAAAACAATATATATAATTCTAGATTTTCACCAATAAATATAATATCGCAACGGAGAAAAGAACAAGAGCAAAAGCATTGGAGAAAATGTGAAAATAAATATCCAAATCAGATGACTAGAGATTTCATGCAATTTATTAGAATAGTCAGGGTACATTGTATCGAATCAGAAAATATCACCAGTGTGTCTCTTTTAGTTTATTTTACGTCAAAGTCAACTGAATAAATTTTTATTTAATAATATTTCTGCAGGAATTGATCCTATAAATGATATTTCAATGGATAATTCATTATCACAAAAAATTTATATACGTGAGTAATTTTTTTAAACAGTTTAAGATCTTATGTTTTATTAATATAGCTTCATGCTAATTTTATACATAAATAGCATCTTCAGATCATTTTCTTGGACTTTTTAAGTAACCTTTCGGATAATTATGTAATAAACAATAGTAATTAATTATTTTGTTATACATTTTAACAGAAGAATCAATGATGGAAATTTCATCCGTATTAGTGCCCTACACATCAAGTACTGATGCAGAAATTTATGATGTGGTAAAGCTTTGCCTTTACGGTGAAGTAGAAGCGATACAATTACATTTTGAACCTGATATTCTCTATTTTGGAGACTTAATTGTCGGCCAAATATCGCAGCGTGTGCTTCGTCTGACAAATCCTTCTGTCATTGCACCGATATATCTAGAATGTACACCAAATGCAGCTGTACGTTGTTATCCGAAGTGGATGAAACTCATGCCAAAAACGTCGATCGAAGTTCTTGTTAAAATTTGCGGCAAAGAAAGCAGTAATTATTACGAAATTTTAAATTTCCTATTCTGTTAACATACTAATTCACATTTGTATCTTCGAATTTTGTATCTCAATAAGTTAATCCGAGCATCGAGCATAAGGCTCTATCTTGTTAATTTATTTTTACAGTTGAACCTTCTTTCAAGTTGTTCTTCAATGTCGCAGCAGATTCTTACGATTTGACTGCATCAAGACGATGTTTCGGTAAAATGAAAGTTGGAAGTTATTTTGTTGTATGCACGGTGAATATTATTTTCAAGTCTAAAAAAGGACTTTTAAGTAAGCCTATGTTAAGTAATTCAATCGATCAAAATTTAAATTCTTCAATATTTTTAAAATTGAATTGCTTTTTAAATAAAGGTAGAAGAAGTTTGCCAACCAAAGTAGTAGATGACAATGAGGAAATTATGAAACGCCTTTTACAGTTACCTAAATGGAAGCAGTTATATGAAGACTATTCCCAAATATATAAATTTGCAGGAAACGTAAAATCTCCTCTCAAGAAATCGATTTTCGCAACCAAGGCAGCTGTACTGATACCTTTATCGCCTTTACAAATATATAAAGTCCACATTTATCCAACCACTTTCGTCTTTGGAATGGTAAGTAACCCAAAATATTATACAAAGCTTATAAAATTGACGAGATGTTTTAAAAATCACTAAAAAAAATGCTTGGACATTTATTATTTTAAAATAAATCTTGTTTTTTTGTGATAGACAATATATAAGTTATAAACACTTATTTTTAACGTTGCTTTCTCTCTCTCTCTTTATTCTTTTTTATTACATAAAAGAATTTTTATAAAAACTCTCACATAAAATTTTAAAAACTATAATTGAATTTGTAAATTGTGGACGAACAAGTAATTCGCATAGTAATTCTTAATAGAAGCTCGTTAAATTATTTTAATTATAAACATTGAGTGATTGGGGTAGGTAGCATCGAACAGTTTCAACTATCGTCGTTTGGTTGTAAAGAATACAAACGACATTCCAGTGATGATACAATTAGTAGGTTCGTCAACCAAATGCATCTACTTTCCGGAAGGTGATTCAATGATCTTACAACCAGGCTCGACGATGACAAAATTAGTCGAGTATTTTGCGGACGAAGTTGGCAAGTTTAATGGATACATCAATTATGTGATTAATCATAATCACTCTTTCGAACTCAATATTACTGCTTGCATTGTTCGCAAACAATTGTATATCGATAAAAGAGAGATTGAACTTGGAAAAGAATGGTCGAGAGCAGAAGTGTATCAACCAGTAACTTCTATTGTTCGAATTATAAATAAATTGAACGCTAAAATACGTTTCAGGTAAAATAAAATTTCTTACCGCGTGTGAACGACAATAATTTAAACAAAGTTTTACAAAAGAATTGTTATATGAAAAGTTACTATAATAACAAGAGCGAATATTTGAGAAAATAAAATAACAGTTTAATAAAATGTAGAATAAATAATAATAATAGTAATAATAATAATAGTAATAATAATAGTAATGTATGATATATATATAATAGGAGATTTTGAAAATATTTAATTCTATAAAGAATAATTGAATTGTTTTTAAGAGCGTGTAATCTTGATAATTCTTGTAGAATAATTCGAATAGTTGCAGTGCAAAATTGTTACAGGTGGGAAGTACCAGTGATGTCCGGGTTCTATATAGAACCGAAATCGGGTTCAGTGCGAGGGAACGCTACCTTACACGCTTACGTGTACTACGAATACGATAATATGAAGGACAATTATACTCAAGCGATAATGACGTGCGAAAGCGGAAGTCGCGTGTCTTTGCGACTTAGCGCACCACGATTTGTGCCGAAGGTTGAATTCGTCAATGACCACGTAAATCTCGGGGAAATAGCCCTCAATTTTTCAACAAAGGTGATCGCCGTTCTGCAAAACTTTGAATTCAACGAGGTGACGTACGAGATAGATAGTGCTTCACTGATACGCGGTTGCAATGTTAATCCATTGCGAGGGAAAATATCTCCGCGCGGTATTGCAATTCTTGAGGTAGGTACGTTTTCTTTATTAATCGTAATAATATTTCGTAATATACAAACAATATTCATTACCGCTTATTAGGTGAATCTTACGTTCGACGTTTGCTGTCGCTTTACTACCGTAATTGCCGTTACGATTCAAGGGTGCCTACAGTTACTGTATAGGATAAATGGTAATGTGTCATTTCCGCGATTGAAGCTTGTACCGCAACGAATAGACATAAAACGCCTCAGCATCGATGCCCTTCAAACTCACCAGATAACAGCCACGAACGTTGGGACAACGTTATTGAAACTGCAGATTTTGTTGGAAGAGTATCCCGAATTTCGCGTCTCTCTGTTAGTAAATAACAAGAGTTTGGAAATAGGTAAATATGGATTCGACAATATAAAAATAATAAAATAAAAAAGTATCTCCTATAAACACGATTAGAAAAGGATAAGAGATGGTAAAAAAATAGGAAATAGTTAAGGGATTCGGAGTAGCCTAAAATGAAGGAAAAAATGTCTCTAATGAAAGATCGGGGCTTAAGAAACACGGATTTAGAACTTTAACAACTAAGAATTTAAATAGTAATTCAAAAAATTATAAATTTTATTCAATAAATCGGATAATTTAACTGCGATTTATATATTCAATAAACAAAAAGGTACGGAAGGGATAACCATCGCCCCAGGTACAAGTCAAAATCTCTATTTGCATTTTCAACCAATCGATTTGGCTAGCTGCGCTTTCTATCTGCCGATTGTGATAAATGAGCTACTTGGTCCTATATCAATGTTGAATCCCAAGAGCATTAGACCAGCGGAGTTTTTAAAATCGCATGAAGCTCATTACATGCATTTATCGAGTTTTGCTATGACGACGTTACCTGATAAACTACCGACTGTATCTATCGATTATACCGTGGCTGGCCGCGTTATTTTCTTCAGCAAACTTTTATTCCGATTCAACGCTTTGACTAACGAAGTAAGATCTTATATTGTTAAAATAAAAAAGAATACAAAAAATGAAGCACAAATAGCGGCATAAAAACATTCATGCAGAAATGTGCTAAAAAAAAACGTGCAGAAAAAATTTATACGCGAGATAAAATATTTTTATCTTTTATATTAATATATAGATTGTAAAGTACATGAAGCTATTTTAATAAACAATAAAAAATGTATACATCTAATTAAGGCATTTCAAATTTATTTTTTATTGTTTAGCTGTCTGAAGAGTTGTTTATAGAGAATCGATTGGTGGCGAGGGAAATAGTAATGTCGATAAAAATCGAGGAATTTAACAAAGTTGATTGCCCATTCACCATAAAATGGTCTCACGGTGCGGAGATCAAAAGAACAACAGATGCGATCGAGTGCATCTTACGTCCTGGCGGTAACGTCTCCTTTATTCTCGAGTTCAAGCCGAGAAAACGCGGCAGTTTTAGTGCAGAGGCACCGATATACGTTCGCGGTGAACTCGACGACGGCATCTTCAATAAATTACGTCTCGACGGCGAGTTTGCCGCCAGTTCGATCGACGTGGAGCCAACGGAGATATATTTTACGCCTGTTCCTCTCGGCACAGCGATAGAAGAAAAGTTTCGGATCCGAGCAAAGCACTTTGATAACACGGCGTTTATACGGCCGAACTTTTTGACGACGTCGCGATGCAGCGGCGATTACAAAAACGAGTTGTTATGCGTTGACTTTCCAAACGGTAACGTCGTCTCTTCTCAATCGTGAGTTGGAGTATTTTCTCTTGTCGTTTGTATCATTAAAAATATTAATATATAATTATAATTTAGTAATATTTATGTAGCATAGAATTATTTCTTTTAATTTCTCAATTAACAAAAAGCAACGTTCTATATTTATAATATTTAAATAGACATCGTTTATCTCTCGCTATCTTTTATTATCCATATTGTTATTATTTATTGTTTATAATTATCAGGAGTCCTTTTATTATTTTGTCTTTTGTTGTAAGATACGTGGAACTGGAAGCAAAGATAACGTTCAAGAGTGATCAACCAGTATCGTTTTGCTCAACTATTGAATTTTCGGATGAAAATCGACTTGCTGTGTGTTTTTTAACGGTATATGCAACAGCGGATAACAATTTGTTAACAACGTATAAATATTCTATAAAGTCCAACTTTGATAAGACATATTTAGAAAAACATGTCTTATATCCATCAATATCATCGGATAGCCTAACAGATAACTACGATTATAACAATGAAGAAATTCCCGATACCCGCAGACAAGTATGTTTTTATTTATTAATTTTTCAAATTGCCATGTAAAATATTTCAGAATAGAAAATGATTATCGGTGTAATTTCATTAAACTCTGCAAATTTTGATATGAATTAATAAAATTATTAAAATTCGATCGTGAATTATCCGACATAAATTCCCATACTGCAGAAAAGTCCGAAATACATCGGAGAGGTATCCTGAAGATATCACATATCCCAAATATATTTTTAAGATACCTCTATAATGTATTTGGGACACATGTACTGAGTGGGTTATAAAAATAGATAAAATCCATTTGTGTGAAAATTGAATTTATCAGAATTAAATCATTTTAGCCTCTTAAGCGTTTAGTTAGTTATCATTACAGTCATAAAAAATTGCAACATTGTTATAAAAAGTCTTCCATTCCCTGAATTATATGTATTTAGATGTATACGTTGCAATACTTGCCACGAGTTTTGCGAGCAGTTAAGACATTTTGATGTAACCGTTTAACGACTAATAATAATGCGACTTCTATTTATAGATTTATTCATTCAACATTATTTATGTGTATATTAAAAATGACTTGATAGAAATCGAAACGTTTGCATTATGTTTGTTTAATTTTATATATTTAATTTATACGATTTATATTTTATTAAATCTAGAGCGAAATATTTGAATCGAGACTCAGCATTATGTCGCATTTTGATACTCGAAGTAGAAGTTTTGTCGATAAAAGGAGAGATTCGAAATTACATTGGGACAAAGAAGTAAATGGCAGTGAAATAGATAACAAGACTATCCAAGTGAATAGAAAACGAATGCTGGATGATAAACGAATATCGATTCGCAAAAAATCTTCCGTGTTTTCTATTGCTTCCGGAGCGAGGAATCATAGATATTCCGAAAGATTGTTGCCTCCTAGCTGTTCCGCCAACGATCAAAATGAGTTAGTTTAAAAAAATTAATCTTACCGTATATTATAACATGTAACGCACTTGTTTTACAAACATTTTGCATGTATTTATTTTTCTAGTGATTACGAGAAATACATAGAGAGAATAACAACGATTATGGAAGAATGGATGTATTCTGGTCCACTGAAATTTCGTTTTTATCCTAACATTTCTTATGGCATTACGGCAGCTTTTTCGTATTTCCATATAAAAAAACGATCTTACGTGGGAAATTTTAAACAGGAAAGTGGTGCAATTATACTGTCGTTCATCAATGTCCTCAAATCAATCGTAGGATCAAACATTCATACTTACTTGGGAGAACTGTAATATTGTAATACTCATGTATTTATACACATATGCTACCTTTTAAGTACATTGCTGTTTTTTTCATTCAAGATCAAAGCAACCACTACCTGAAAATGACATCGAAAGAATAAAGTATATTCTCCAGTTGTGTAACAAGATATTGGACTTTCTTCTGACTCAAGGAGCATATTTAGTTCACGTTTCGCCACAATTTCTCCTAAATTATGATGATTATGTAATTAGCATTGACATCATACAGATCAATGTTAGTTATAAAGTTATAAGTTCCAAATTATAATCTCTCGTTTCTCTTAGAATGATAATAAGATTAAGACCAGAATATTTGAACATATATAGGAAAAAGTTTTTGTCTAAATTACAACTCCATAAAAATCCATATATTGGTTAATTTTTATATTACAGGCACGAAGAAAAAATTTGGATACAAGTTATGTATCACATAATGAACGGTTGTCGCGACAGTTATTTGACTCGCGAAATAAGGAATATTGGTTAGATGTGACTTTGCAAACATACAAGTGTCTTGTACTCCGTGGAATACACGAGTATAAATTTTGGATGTCACCGCGTCCTTCGAGGAGATCCACAGTGTATCGGGAATCGATAGTATCGTCTACATCGAGGTTCGTTATCGTGTTACGTAATTTTACAATTGCATCTCTAATTGGATACACCCTTCCTGCAGCTTACCGAGGCAATATGAACTTCACGAGAGAGCCATCGAGAGTATTGCAAATTCGCCAAGCTGCGAACTCGCTTCCGATGATCGTTGTTCAGAAGAAAAGTTCTTGTTAGCTTGGCTACGATATCATTACGAACAACAACGCATTCGAGATTGGATGACCGATCGTCGTGTAATTTTGAATCCGCAAGAAAAGCAAGATGTAGCCGAATATCGAGTGGTTCAAAATTTTCATCATGATTTATCAGATAGCCTCGTATTAATTGCGGTTACCGCAGCCTATTGTCCTTTTCTCATTGATGAGTTTATCAATTTGTACATTTGCCCGAGAAACAAACAAGAGGTAATCGTCAAGCATTTAACTCTAGCTTTAAAAAACTGTATATTAGATTAATTAGATTATATATTTAAAATTGAAACGATGTCGAAATTGTGTATTAAAATTCGAGTTTTAATTAGGACAATGTGAATTAATAAGATTGTGGTCATACAAGCAGAAAATATTAATATTTTATAGAGCGAGATCTTTCGCTTAATAATAATGTTTGTAAACTTTATTATTCGGCACTAAAATACGTAGTCTTATGCAAAATCTGTATAAATATTGAGGCTGCTTTGTACTTTTGTTAATATAATATAATACTGTTAAAATAGATACATATAACAATATTTACTGCATTTACTTCGAAATTATCGTTATTATTGGAAGACAAATTTAGCAAACACTGTTAATTTTTATAAACAGCGTTATTTTTTCTCATTTCATGCCAATTATTATAACTATAAAGGAAAAGATAGAAGGGAAAAATGCAGTATTAATTGACATTCTCATAATGATTTAACAATTTTTTATGTAATCTTCATTTTTTATCATCATACAATCTTATTTATTGCGATGCGAACTATATAATTTTCGCAATATCGTGTGTAGATGCTGCATAACGCTATTTGCCTAGTTACTGCTTGGAGGAAAATACGACTTGGCTTCATTATTACGCCGATGCAATTGGTTAATCCGAATCAAGTGCAAATATTAATGCTGGTCGTTCATCTTTTCCAAGTTTTGCCGACATATGTACCTCGCGCCAAGGTTTGCATTAAATCGTATATCGTACTTTATCACATAACACTTATTATTTTAATTATATTATAATATTTTTACCTTTTATTGTAAATGAAACACTCAAATCCAAAAACATATTAGTCGTGTATATTACGTATATAATATATTATTTCACTTTTACAGATCAAATTTAACTGTCCATTATCCCAAATCGTCACGAAGCAAATAAGCGTTTCAAATCCGACGGATAATATTGTAAATTATTTATTGTTGCTCGTAAACGATGTCAATCATCTTTTTACTATCCTGAAGCCCGTGTCGGTCTTACGTTTAAACGCGCACGGTAGTGGCCAAGTACAGATACAATTTCATGCTAAGAAAATACTGAAAAACAGAGGTAAACAGAAATTTATTTAATCATCTTTATTTATTGCCCGGATTATATAGGATATTTTACTTAACACGACAAAATAATTTTTGAAGCATTCCGTTACTTTTCATATTTAAATCAAACAATATTTGTGCAAATTGTTTAAAATAAGATCCTTCTTACATGTCATATCGGATTTTTTAACTGATCAATAGCATATTTGGTCCTTTGCGGACGGGCTATTGGACCACATTTTGGAAGAAATCAGACTATCATCTTGGAAGGTAATATTGATAACCTTGGAATTGCGAGCAAATATACTGTACGCAGCAAACTGTATCGGGTTGTCGAGACAAATCTGAAAATCAATATACCCTATCAAAATGCGGCAGAATATGATATATGGATGACGGACGAACGGCCAAGCCACCCATGTAAAAAAAATATAATCTTTAAAATTTACCATTAAAAATATGTCTATAATATATCTGAACCCGTGTGAAGCTGGCCCCCCAATATTAAAAAATCAATTTTTTTCTTCATGCATTCGTTTGCTCATCGTTTGCTCACAAATGCTCAGTTGGAATTTTCGTTTGCTCACCCTTAGTTCAAAAGATACACGAAAATTATGTTTTGGGGGCCAAATTCACACTATAGCCCCCCAATATTAAAAAATCGATTTTTTTCTTCATGCATTTGTTTGCTCATCGTTTAATTGCTCACGAATACTCAGTTGGAATTTTTGTTTGCTCACCCTTAGTTCAAAAGATTTGTGAGCAAACGATGAGCAAACGAATGCATGAAGAAAAAAATCGATTTTTTAATTCGATACCAAAACTTAATTTTCTTGTATCTTTTGAACTAAAGGTGAGCAAACGAAAATTCCAACTAAGCATTCACTATCGTAAGAGAAACGTGAAGAATTTATCGGATACTTTCTAGTATAAAAAAACGATAAATATCTGTCAAAAACTGCCTTTTTAAGTCTAAACTCGTATCGTATTTAATGTGCTAAATTATTACGTTAGTTTTATTTTAAAAGCGTTATATATTAACAAATATTCGGATCGTCCTTAATTCATTATTTAAATTTAAAAGTAAATTTAATAGTAAATGATATTTGCAAATTATATACGGCATAATCGTAACTCGGATACTTTTAGCGACTCTAAAAATGACACGATGGCGCGAATTGCGAGCCAGGAAAATACCAAGAAGACTTTTTTTGAATCAAGAATCAATAGTCGTCGCCGAGGGTGTATCAGAGGCACATTTATCGATTAGTGTGGCGTGCATCGCACCTAAGCAACGAACGTTTTGGTTAATTTTCCAAGCAAAAACGGGTGACTTTATTATTCAAGTAAGCGCTTGATAAGTGCGAGGAATTGTTTTACGGTACACGAAACTACGAGTCTATAAATGAAGCAAAATGTGAAAAGAACGTATTTATAGGTTCTGAGAAAATGGCGTTGATTTGATATCTTGTAAAATTAGATATTTCTTATTGATCGTAATAGATAAATTCGATTTGGCAAACGTTAGTCAACGATCGCATCGTCGTCCAGTGGACAGCTCAAGGAGAATGCATTTGTTCAAATCAGAGAAGCGGCGTAAGAGATACTTGCCCATTTAATGTCAGCATACCTATACCATCTTGTAACGTTCAGCTTCGGAGTTGTGTAATTGAAATGTTTAAAAAAACTCTCGACTCGCGGGAACGTCTATTTTGGTCCAAATATTCAAGTATGTCAGATGACATCTACGTAACATCCAAAAATATTATAAAACATCTAAATATATACAATTTCTTATTAATTTATTTATAACTCTTTAATATATTTATTGTATTTTGCAGGACAAATAATTATCATTTGTGTTACTGTTTTTTTTCTTTTTTCAGTTTTTATTTATTGCTTTCAGATACCTACATCGAACTACGATTAATAAAGTGGTTGATGGGACGTGACACTGATTCTGCGGCTCTGGAATTTGTGCATATTTTTAACACCGCAGTAACATATAAAGTTACGATTTCGGATAAATCAAATTCTCTTATTCTACCAGAATGTTTTACTATACAAGGCAAGTAAGATTCAGGACATACGCATTTTATTCAATATGTACACAGGATAATTTCACTTTAAAAAATAACTTATTTTTACTATTTCCTCTGAAAATACAGAAATATTATCTACTATTATAATTAACCATAAAATTCTTTGAATTAATTTAGAATCAATATTTATGTAACTAAAATATAGTCTCCAATAATTTTTGAATTATAAATAATTAAAAAAGAGAGAATTTAAGAAATAAATTTTGGAAACGCAAGAATAGGATGTAATTTTATTTTTCATTTAATTAAGAGGCATTTTTTTGTATCGTGTGAAATAAATTAATTCTTTTCTATGTTACCATTTCTTCATCTTTCTCCTGTGTTCAATAATATAATTTTAAGATATATCTTTTTTTTATTGTTTCTATATAACAAAAAAAATATGTACATATATACATGTATATTTCAATTTACATGTATCTTATATGTAATATATAGTATATAAATTGTTACAACTTATGTTACCAACTAAAAATGAATTTTTTTTAATGTATGTATGTTAGATGTGAGGCCATCTAACCAGCAAGTTCCAATGATCGTACATATCCTATCAACGATTCCTCCATTGTATGAAGCGACGATCACTCTTACATCTTTAGATGATAAAGAATTTCGAGTATACACTATCGACTGTCTACGATCCTAAAGTTATTTTTTTCATTACCATCTATCAAGTTAGTAATAAATAATTGAATAATAGATTTTGATATTATTTTCTATTTCGGTGTTAAGAATTTAAAACCATTTTAGCGAGGAAAGAATAAAAAATGTGAAGAAAGGTAGTAATCATCATAATAATCATGTGATTTTTAATATACATTTATTAATCATACATTTGAATGCGTATATTTACACAAATTTAATTAAAAAATTATTATAAGTTTCTCCATTTAATAAAATTTCTTCAATTTTTTTTAAAGATTATTTTATGCTTTTATTTTCGCTGGATTGCTTTCAATTAATGGTTAATCGTGACAGTAAATAATTAATCATATAATAGAAATATAATGCACATAATATACAATATTGAATTAATGAAGATGTAACTAGACGCTGATATTTCATTTAAAAAATTCAGATTCTAATAGACAGTAATAGTAGACTTTTATATCAAACCAAATATATGATATACTTAATATATGTAATTTAATTAATTTATTAGAATTGTTCTTTTTTGTTATCATTCGAGTTATAATTAAATAAAATTAAGTAAAAAACATACATCAAATAATCAAATATTTAATAAAATAATGACGATAATTCTTAACTAATTTTTCAAATTACAAAAATGATATATAAAGAGGTAAATAATATGTATTTGGAACATATTCAATATCATGATTTAAAATAAATATATAAGAAATCATGAAGAGAAAGCAATAAATAATATTTTATTATAATTAACTCAAAGAATTTGTAAAAAAAATTGAGTTTACATATTTAAAAATGTTTTAGCTAAAATCTAATTTTTAGGGTATATACAGGGTACCCGGAAAAATATTGCGAATCATAATACTACAGCAGGAAAGTTTTCGAAAAATTAAGTAAAGAAATTATTTATACGCGTGCGGGCGTACGTGTGCGTGTGTGTGTGTGTGTGTGTGTGTGTGTGTGTGTGTGTGTGTGCGAGACTTAATTTTTCAAGAACTGTTTTGCTACAGAAGATTGAGTCGCGAATTTCCTTATGTATTCGCATTTGTTATAAATGAAATCTGTACACAAAATGTTTAAAATAAATCTATATAAACCAGTCTCCTTCATTGACTTCTCAATATCATTTCCGAAAATTTTGAAATACATCTATATTAAGGCAAATTTTGCTTCTCGTCGCATCATTTTTCCTAGAAATCGGCGGATAGCATGATGAGTCGAGTTTATTTTTAACTAAAGAGTCTAAAGGGAGAGCGGCACCAATAGAATCATCTAACTCTTTCTGTGATTGACAAGAATCAATAATAAACAGACTTTCTACTTAGCTGAAATAATTTTTGTTCAAGATTATGAAATTAATTGGCGACTTTCTTCTACATAGACTCTCTATGCTCAACAAGATCAGGTACCTGCCAAGTGCGAATGTAACTTGAATATTTTCAATTATCCATATTTATATATTACACAATAAGAAAATGATTAAAATGTATCATCATTCTTTTTTCAGAAAATTGGATAAGATTTGGCAAGCTGAGGAAACAAACTATCTAAAAAGACTAAAAAATTTGAATAAATCATGGGATAATTAAAAATTTCAAGTGCTCCTAATATATTTATAATTTACATATTCTTTATTACTATTTGTTATATAAAGGAGCAACACCGAAACACACTGTATACGAGCATTGATACAAGCGTGTTTCTTTCTCTAAAAAAAATTGAATAACAATCAAATCTATTGTTTAAATTTAAAACGATTAGACAATACGTATGTCAAACTTTTTTTTTAAGCATATATGCTGTTGACTTTAAGAGATAATCATAAGACATTTCTTCATTATGAGGCCTCCTAATAGGATCATCATCTTCAACATTGTCTATCAAGAAAATACAATCCCCATAAGTAAAGAAAATAAAATTTGATGCATACATGTGTATAATATATTAATAATATAATTATCTTACCAAGATCGGCGTATTTGGATTTGCAAAACGCTCTACGACCCCCAAAAGATAGAGTGTATTCAGGTAAAGATGGATTGTCATTACCATGCTCCACGGCTTCGTAGGCATCGTTGTTGTACAAAAAAGTGATAAAACCGTAGTTTTCGCTAAAATAATACCATAGATTGTAGAGATGATAGAAATTGTAGCATGAGAAAAATATTAATTTTAAAAAAATAACAAGAATATAAGTGAAGATACATACCCATGTTCACGAAAATGTACACTGATATCTTCAACAGGTCCAAAAACCTCAAACCTTTTACGTAGATCAGATTTGGTAATTCCTTCATCTATGCGTCCTACATATACTACTCTACGTTCTTCTATTTCTCTTTGCTTTTTTCTGTTGTGCCAATTATCACAGGTTTCGGAATAAGAATTTAATGGTGATCTACTAAGAACAAATTATAAAAAGGCTATAATATATTGATAGGAGATATTATTAAATATATACGGCTATATATGATGGGGTGGAAGGGGAGGGTGTTAATTTTACTAACACCAATTGAAAAATTTATTTTCCAAATGTAAATTCATTTTCTTTTTAGAAAATTTTAGAAAATATATGTATAATTTTATAAACATTTTATATAAATCATAATATAATTAAATATATATATATATAATTATTTAATATATTATATATATAATTAATTATAACTATCAAGTGTATTGTAGGAAATTTGTTAAATATGAATATTTGTTTCAATGTCAATAGAAATCGTATCTTTATATCTCGAAAAATGTTTTACCTATAACTTCTGTTGTCATGGCGATTGGCAAAAGAACTCCTCTCATATTTATCATAACTTCTTTCGCGTCTATCATATTTACCGTAACTTCTTTCGCGTCTCTCATATTTATCATAATTTCTTTCGCGATCTCTACTGTCCGTTCTTCGTTGATTAGACCATTTATTTCTTCGAAGATTAGAAGCCGAGGGAGACCTATCGATATAATTTTTATGAGAATTTTAAACACTTTTATTCAAATCAATCTTGTTTGTAAGCTATAATGTATTATTAATTTTATTTATTATATAATTCTGATTGGAATGCATTTGTTATATACCTTGAACGTTTAGAATAAAATCGTTCAGAAGATCTAGATCTGGATCTAGATCGAGATCGAATGTGGGATCGAGATCTAGAATGTGTATACGAATGCTTTGATCTCAATGAAATAGATAGAGACGACGTCCAACTGCTAGTTGAAGTAACAGAGCTGCGTCGCGTGCGATGACTTATTGTTCGTCGGCTGCTACGTTGATTTACTCGAGATCTACTCCTACTTCTACTCCTACTGCTACTCCTATTGTTGCTTCTGCTTGTGCTCCTTCTATGTATACTAATACTTCGGCTTCTGTTCCTATTTCTAGTCCTGCTCTTACTTCTACTTCTCTTTCCGCTCCGATTTTTACTTTTGCTTCTATTTCTTCTTCTGTCTCTACTCCTTTTAATGTTACTTCTACTCCTGCTTCTGCTGCTGCTTCTGCTGCTGCTGCTACTGCTTGTTGTATACCTACTGCTGCTTGCTGTATACCTGCTACTGCTTTTTGATCTAGATCGACTCAAACTGCGAGAGACTTCTTCGCAAGATTTTTGTCTTTCATTTTTTGTACTTCTTTCCCTATTATAATATTATACAAATTATTATAATACAATTAGAATGCAAAAGTTTTCGTAAGATTTCACGATAACTTTTTTCAAAAAAAAGGAAGGCAAGGATTAAATATTTTAAACATGACCAAAATCTTTTCGACAAATATTTTTTTTAAATGTATGTGTAATTATTATCGCAAGATCATTATAATAAATCATTACTTTTAATATAAGCAAAAAAAAAATATAAAAAATATCTTTTTACAAAATTATTATTAGAACAAGTGATTTGTTTTTGACATATGAAACGTTCAAATAAGAAGGTTTATCATGAAATCCAATAAATTTTAAGACTAATAATAATAACAACCATATTTAATATCTTACCTTTCTTGGTTTCCTTCCATAATTTTCTCATCTTCCTCCTCAACATCTACTGATTTTAAATATTCAAAAATAGTTTCGTCTGTTTGTGTTTGTATATGGCGAGTAGATAGTTTTGGTTTATTTTTTTCTTCTTGTATATCCGATACCTTTTTCCAACATGGCATAATTTCTCTTTCACACCAAAACGTATCCTTTATCTCTTGATCAGGTTTGAGTAATGGTTTCATGGTTGAAGCATGATAAATATCCACTAGTACAGTTCGAGATGACTCTTTCATTATCATGGGTTTGTCATTACGAGTTTTATCGTTCGATATTCTTTTTCGATATTCTAATACACTAATTTTAACACGAGATGTTTTATCTTCTTCATGATGCGGCAGCGTGTCTTGAGTATTTTGTACAATTATATTTTGTACTTCATTATCTGAACTATTTATAGTGGTTACTCTATTTTTATTAGGATTATTTATCGCGAACTGTGATTGTGATGGGTTTGGTGGATTCTTCAATACAGAAATATATTGTATTTTAGAATTCGTTTTCACAATATTCGTTTTAGGTGATACATGTTTCTGTGATTGTAGGATGATTTTTCTAGCTAAAGGTGAACGAATAGAAAGAAGAAAAGGTTCAACGGTTGAAGATGCATTTGAAATATTTATATTTTTAACAGTTGGTGAATTATTTAAGTCGTGGGAGTGTTTGACAAGAGTCTCTTTTTGATAATCTTTATGATAATTTTCGAGCCAATCATCTTTGATTTTATTTTGTAAGACTGTTGGTTTTTCATTAGTGTCACATATATTAGTTGATTCCAGGTGGCATTGTTTATTTGAACTGCCGTTATTGTGACATCTTGTGAGTTGGTCCCAATGTTTAAATTGGTTCAATCTTAATACAGACGTAGATTTTGTAGTTTCTATTAAAAAAAAAGATAGGTATATTTTAATGTCATTAATTAAAAAAGCTTTTATTTTCATTATTTGTTCATCTTACTATTGCTATTATAATTCGTGGTATGAAAGTTGTCATTATTGCAATAATCGTGATCCAACTGTACCAAACTTCTTTTGAATATTGGACTCTTAGCATCATTTGGTACCTAAAATGCGTTACAATTAATGGTGGATTATTTTACATCATTTTGTAATAATAATCGATATGTGAGAAATAGCATGCACATACATACTCAAATCATGCCATAATACTTAGGAAAAGGACTTACTGTAGAATCTATCTTTAAAGTTTTGTTACAAAAAGCTTCGTCTTGCATTCGTGTACTCTTACGTTTACTACCTCGTATATTTAACGGACTAGATTTTTTACGCTCTGATAACTAAAATACGACCAAATAATCATATTTATTGCTAGATCATAATTATACTAACTTACTTAAATATTAAATTTATAAAAATAATAGATTACCTTTGTTTTATTAATTATTTTTTTGGATAAAATTGAGGTTTGTTGATTGGAAACTTGAGAAACGGATTTCTCCGATATATCAACCCGACACTCTTGAGTCACTTGACATGTTTTGTTTGGTCTTGTGTCATATGTGAGATCTTTTTTAACAATTAATTTATCGCATGGATTTGGATTTTCACAAGCCTCGAATTTTTCCAGTAAACTCTTTGCATCGTGTGCTTCCAGTACTAATAAAAAATAAGCTTTAATAAAATATTAATGTTTACTTAATAGTTTGATATAAACATAAATTTATTTAAATATACTTGGTATTTCATCTCGTGGTATTGTTTCAACATCCACACAATCTTCTTGCTCCTCTACCTTGATTTTTTTAATTATTGTATTTTGGGTTACTATTGTATCTTCTTTTATTTTCTTTTTCTCTCTTACATTTTGATTTTTTGTCTTGATATCTGCTTTATTTTTATTTTTTATGTAAGACAATACAGGCAGAGTATTACTTGTTGGAGGTTTAAATACTTCATCTTTTATTTCTTGTTCAGTAATATCCTCTATTTCCGTTTTTATTACTGTATTACCAATTATTTCAGATGCAGCTTCTTTTTAAATAAAAAAAAAAGCATTATTCTTTTTATCAAAATTGATAAAAAAAATTTAATATATAATCTTTGATATTATTATTTAATTACAAACCAGTTTCTTGTTTTTCTTCCTTTATTTTTAATTCTTTCAATTCCAAAGGCCTTTGATTTATTTCAATCATATCTTTGTATATATATATGTTCTTGCTAGGTGTCATTAAATAGTCCTCTTCACAAAATGACTGCAAATTGAAAATGCAAGCATTTTATTATTATATTGTATAATTCTTAAACAATAGAATTCATGTACAATATTTATTAATTATAAAGAAAAATTTCCAACCTGTAGGGAGTTTGCAAACAAATCTTCAACAAACTCTTTCGTTCCGCTACTGTAAAAAATAATTAAATATATTTACATAATGTACATTTGTCATAATTATCATATAATATGTATAACATTCTTGAATAAAAATAATATACTTACTTTTCTTCGTTGCTATAAATGGAATTGTACACAGCGTTTAAATCTTCTGCTGAAATATTATCGACTATATCCATCAGCGTATTTTGCCGTATATCCTGAAATTTTTTATAATGCAAATAAACATTAATAATATTCAGAAACAATCATCTTTTTTTATTTTTTTCTCATACATATACTTGGCTACATTTCGATTGGCATTTTTGTAAATACGTTTTTATGTTTAATTATAATTTTAAAAAGCAATTATTTTGCATTTTTGATAAAATAATTATAATTTTAAGAAATTACATATAATTTTTATTATAATTTTTTAAAATTAAATAATAAAATTATATGATGAAATCAACCATTCATTTGTAAAGAGATTTCGAAAACTAAATACCACCCAATTGTTTCTTTAATAACTATTTAACGAGAAGTGTTCAAACAAAAATTTGAAATCATAGTGTCCAGTAAAATTTGGTTAATCCATTTAAGAATAATTTCATATCATTCCAGGTAAAAATCCTTTTGTTTTTCCAAGTCCTATCTATCGAGGATTAATTTTCATTATTTAATTAATTTTTACCGATTCACGTAATATTATATTCTTTGTATACGTATTCAAGTTCTTCGGATTCTATATGAATAAATTAAAATCCTAACAAAGAGCCTAACCGAATAAGCAAGTGAAAAATGTCCCCAAATTAATTCTAATTTTGAGTATGTCACACACATCGTTGATAAAAGATTATTTTACACCGAATTTCAACCATCTATATTCTATAATAATAGATCCATGTAGTAGTAATGATGAAAAATGTCAATTTCAATTTTTTATTTTTATTTTCTTACCGCCTGAATTAAAAATTCTGAAAAAATTTGACACATTTTTCAGCACGTTATCATATCTAAGAAAGTTTTTTAGATTTGTTGGTGAAAAATTTGAATAAAAAATAATGCAAAATTTTTCAATGCACGGTTTTTACTGAAAATATTTGAGTATTATTTTTTAAAAAAGTATGATAAATTAATCATTCCATGATGAATGAAATTAGTCATATTCAGATTCTTTAAAGGTGTGAAACATTGTTTTAAAAATTAATAACCAGTTTTTTAAATATTTTTTATTTATATTTTTCCATCAAAGTGTATTTAATATAATATTACATTATATATATATATATATATAATAGCATGTGTAGTCAAAGGTAATTTACCGATTTTTTAAATGAAATAGTATGAGAAAAAAATATATATATATTTAATTTTTTTGATATCTAATTATTACAGTAACATCGTTTGCATCAAATAACTTTTGTGTACCTCAGTTAATATGATTGAGATTTCTTAATAAATAAAAAATCGTTTATTATGTTTATAATAATAATACATTTTTCATGCAAAGCATAACGTGCGAAAACTAAAATGAAAAATAATATATTCTATTAAAAAACACTTTTACATATTTTACTTACATGTTCACCTTTAGAGGAACTAGGACTTAAGAGCTACCAATTTTATTCGGGAACGCTGAACTGTATGTATCATAAAATAAAGGTGCATTCAGATTACAGCATTTTGAGCATCAACAATCAAAGTGGTGTAGAAAATTATTCCTTTTTAAGCCACTGTCTATATCGCCTCACAGATTGGTTGCTGCTTTCGTTGCTTGAAGCTTCATGCCGTAATCTGAATGCAACTTAAGAGAGAAGGAGATTCAACTTCATGGAGCGCGGGCAGAGCTGTAACTTGATATTTATCGTCTTTTCTTGGAAAGATGACTTTATACCCATTATCAGTTAAAAGATGGTAATTATTTACACTCTTTTTAAAGTATGACTCTTACATTTAAATACGAGAATTTAAATATCGTTAAGTCTATGTAAAAAAACTTAATTAATGCAAGAAATCTCACACACATTAACTGAGATACACAAAAATTATTTGACGCAAATGATGTTACTGCAATAATTAAATATCAAATAAATTAAATATATATTTTTTTCTCATACTAGTTCATTTTTCAAATCGGTTACTTTTGGCTACACATGCCATATTGTATAAACTTCAAAATGTGTTTATAATATTCCGTTAGAAATGTATTTAATGTAATATTATATTAAATACATTTTTAGTGGGAAAATATAAATAAATTTTTATTCAAATTATAATTAGTCTAGAAACTCTCGTTTTAAATGTCGCAAGAATAACGAAATGTTAGGTGGTTGAAATTCAGAAATGTTACGCAGATGATATATTATAGCATGTCAATTCTCAAAGATCTTTAAAGTTTTTGTCCGTTTGACCGTTATATTGATGAATTTTACAAAATTTTGAATATAATCCGCTTTTCATAAAGAATGACAACGCATTTCTGTTTCTGTAAAAGAGAGGAATGCGAGTGCTTCTTTCTTAAACATGGTCAGTGAAAATAATTTGCAGCAAAACATGGGTATTTCTAAAAATGTAATCTATATAAGAAATATTACAAGAATAATGAAATGAGTTGAGTGATTGGAATTCAGAAATGACAGATGATATATAATAGCATGTCAATTCTTAAAGACCTTTGTATTGAGGTTTTTGTCCGTTCGACCGTTATATAGATGGATTTTCCGAAGTTTTGAAGATAATCGGCTTTTCGTTAAGAATGACAATACATGCTAAGCATTCTTGTTTCTATAAAAGAAAGGAACGCAAGCGCTTCTTTCTTAAACATGGTCAGTGAATAAAATGCAACAAAACATGGGTATTTCTAAAAGCGAAATCTATATAAGAAATATTAGACAAGTTTAAATCTCGCTACTCATGTTTTATTTTTTCATAGTTTTTAAATAAATTTTTTTACGTTATTGTCTATTTAAATATATACGTACTTTTTTTTTATCAAGACTTACTTAAATATAATTTTAAGATTATATATATATGTATATATACAGGACCGTTTATACGAATAAATAAGTCAACTAATAATAGGTATGAGAAATGCCGTCCAAAGTAAAAAAATGTTGGAATAATACATTTATATGCATTTAAATAATTTTTATCTTAGATATTTGATTGCGCGCCTTTACTTTCGATTTTGCAACACAAAAAATCAAAGTGAAATAATATTCTTTTCAATTTAAGTTAGATCTTCAATTTAAAGTTACTCTAGCATCTTAAACCTTATTTAAATACAATTTTAAATATTTTAATATTTGTCAGAAGAAGTTTATAAATATGGATGGTTTATAAATATTAATATATATATTTTTTTTGACATCATTCAGATATATATAACTTTCTTAAGAAAATATTTTAGAAAATTATTGTTGAATAAACAGCAAAAATGTTCGCATAACGAAAATAATCTTTGAAACTTTTAATAATGCTTAGCGTATAAATTGAATTAACAAAGTAAAGTTCTACAAAAGAATTTAAATGAATGAGAAATAATAAATGCGTAGAGATAAAACAGGAAGTTTATTTATATGTACAAATTCGTTTTCATTTTATGTTTTTGTAGTAGGCTTTAAAATTCTTGGTGATATCTAATCTTAGATAAAATAGGAGAATCCCTTATTTATTTAGATATCGGTTGCATTCCTAATTTTTTTAAATTTTATGTTCTACATATTTTAACAACTTTCATCGAGAATTACCACTAAAATCTTTAAAAGTACGCTTTTAATTATATCTATTTAAATAAAATATTTATACACTATTTAGATTATACACTATTTAGATAAGATACTATTTAGATAAACTTAAATTATCGTATATGCTTCATTGAATTCATCCCGACAGTGACTATTTAGCACATAAACTTAAAGAAACAAATTTTCTTCTGTAAATACTGAAAAAAATATACTATAAATAATTTTATAAATAATTTTAAATAAACAACTAATCAAAGAAATTACGTGCAAATCATGTAATTAAGATTATTTAATCAATAAAATATGCATATTTTTATATTTTGATAAATGTTGATATGTAAGACAGTATTTTTAAGTAAAAAATATATACATATTAATATTTGTAAACTTTTTTTGACAAATATTAAAATTGTATTTAAATAAGGTTTAAAATATATAAAAATATGTATATAAAATAGTATTTTTAAAATTATTCGAATTTTTAATGAAAAAAGAAGTGCAACAATTTTTTAATGATGAAAAAATTATATTATTTGAGTGGAATTATGTTCTCATTTCAAGTTAGAAAATTTCAAAACAAGTTGAACGTATTAAAAAAAAGAATAGTAATTAAATATGTAATTTTTGCGCTAAATAAAGTAGGCATTGTAATCTCGCGAATTTCGAACAAAAGTTTCTTAATTATAAGTTGTTAAGTTATATTAAGTTTATTTCTTATCTCGATATTTAGGAAAATTAATACCAAAAAATAAAAATCACATAAAATTATAAAAAAAAAAAAACTATTAAGAAAAATGCTAAAACAATCGTCAATAAAAATAATACTCTTTCGCTTCAATGCAAAATAAACTTTAATTTCGATTTAACTTATTTTTTATTTCTAAATTCCAAGAAAAATATAAAAAATAGGTTAAACCAAGATTAAAGTTAATCTAAGTTGGCATAAATAAATATTAATCGACAAAAAATATTTTTTATCAAGATTGTATTGTATATTATTAAAATATATGAATGAATGATTTATTGTTTTCCTGAGGGGAGAAGGGGACTTAAAAAAAGACTTCTATATACAAATCAGAAAATACCAATCATTATACGTATATAATTAATTTATCTCACATGCAACAATTGTACTGTATACAAAAACATGCTAAAATAAATGAATGTCCACTTAAATAAAAGTATATTAATAAATGAAAATCGAAGCAAACAGAATTTCCTGTTTTTCGAAAAAATAATTTAAAAAATTATCTAAAAATAGTTTTAAAGCATGTAATATTTATTTTAAAAAATATAGTAATTATTTTCAAGAAAGACTCCTGTTACGAATAACGTTATAGCAGCTTTTTTGTAAGATTGCTCCACCGGACGGTACTTAGAACGAGAAACTAGCTCCATTTTGATAGAAAGATTAAAATTATCGTGATATTTTAAACGAAATCATTTTCTTAACGTTATTTTTGGACATTCATAAGCGGGTTGTTCAATTGATACAAAGAATCTTACCTCCTCATCCTCAGTGTCATGAGTTAAGTACGACGCGTACTCGGGAAATAATTCATATTCATTTCCGATCATATAGCTTCCACTTGCCATCGCATGATAATTTCCCGTTTCCATTGTTGAAGTCGTTGCTCGACACTTTTGTCTATCACTTCACGTTACCTGCAGGATAAAGGATATACTGAAAAATACTGACTGAGACGGCGGCTGATGCTAGCGACTTCGATCGTATTGGCACGCTAAGCCACGCTGAGCCACGCGGTTTTATTTTAAGGTTATGTTACGCCGAGGGGTAAGGGAGTGTGACTGGAACGCACGTGTGCGGCACAGAGAAATTGACATTCAACGTGCGGGACGCGCTTTATGTGGCTTTGTACGAACGATAGGTGATCGGGGGTGCACGCACACGAGGCTGCTCGAGGGTGGCGCGGATTTCGCAACGTGAATCACGTCCACGTTGCAGGGAGTTCCACGCCGCGCGCCGACGGACCGGACGGACCGAACCAGCTGTGGCGGCTGAGAGATCACCGATCGACCGCGATACCGTTATTCCGTCGCGAGAATAGAAAGTCAATTCGCAATGATAACACACCCTACGGTGAACTTGCACGGACGCGACTGTCGAGGGCTGAACGTGTCCGTTGATATTCCGGATGAACGGAGGGAACGCGCGGCTCCGAGGATGCCTTCTTCAAGTCTTTGCACATGGAAATTGGAAGGAGAGCGTCTCTCCTCGTTACGTCTGCACAGTGGCGAGAAAGAGAGGCACGCCGTGTACGCACGCGTAAACGCGCCCGTGGTGAGCGCGAATTGTGCCTATGTATTCGCGGCACGAGTGAAAGGAGGCGAGAACGGAGAGGAAGAGAGAGAGAGAGAGAGAGAGAGGGAGACAGAAGAGCCGGCTAGCCTAGCCATGCTTGTCCATGCCGCGTCAGAGCACCACGCCTCCGGAGACCGCGGCGGGTGACGTTCCGCGAGAATGCTATTCGGGATGATTACGGCGGGATCACTTGGAACGTGATAAATTCGCATCGAGTGCTTTCGGTGCTTCCCTACGTTCTCCGATTGACCGGGTTGATACCACGCGGCGCATAACGATCTCAAGTAACAAGCGCTACAAACCTCGTCTCGAGCAGCAAAGGAGAGTAATATCTCAGTAATATCCCGGCAGGAACTCCGTGTTCCGAGTTAACACCACCGCACGAGCCGACACTGATATCTACAGAAGAAACTGCCGTTTGATACGACCCGAGCGAATTTCGATCGGTAGTTCCCAACACTTTCGACGAGACACGCGTACACGTGACTACCACGTTTGCGACGACTCGTCTCTCGAATCGGAGTCCCTCCACTACTACTACACGCTTCGTTCACACCGCGCGCACTCGGAGTACGGTACTACTTGCACACGATGCACACTTGTGCTGACCGACTGCGATCGTACATGCACGCACACAGCTCTCACGAACCTGGAATCGCGAAGTCTGCTGAGTGCATTGTGTGAGCATATTCGGTGGTCAACTCACACATTTATACCCTCGTATGTGCCCCATGCGCGCGCAGCTTGGCTACCTGCAAAAAATGGGGTAGGCTTTCGAAGCTTATTGGCAGTTGAGACACAAGTTTTTGGGTTGCAACTTACAATAGCGTTCATGTTTTGTGTTGAATAAACAAGTGAGGCCCATGTCGATTGATAAATATATGAATTTCTTATTTTCTGAATGACGCCCTTGATTTTTTCCATTCTTTTAAGTTTACTCGGTCCCCGACTCTCGGTTATTATGTTTAACTCTAAAATAATAAAGTATATAAAATTGTCACAAGCACTGAATAGCTGCTTTTATAAATGAATGGTATTGTTTAAAAAAAGAAAGAATTTGAATGAAAAAGTTAAAGAAAGCACGAAGTTCTGTTATAAATAAAAAATACATAACAATAATTGAGAAAAATGATTTTGAATTAAATGATATTCTTCATAGATGGTAATAATAAATTAATTTTTCACATTTACTGGCTTATTGAATATTAATACATATTGCGAATGTAATAGGAAACTTTATAACTGTGTTTATTGTGCAAATGTAAAAGCACACGATTATTTATCACAAGTAATTAAAATATTAAAGTTTTCTAAATTAATAATAAATATATTATATAAAATATAATAATTAAAACATTAAAATTATTACAAAAATCGTTAAATTCTTTCACTTTAGGATTATGTACGAAGAATATATACTACAATTATATGATTAGTTATTTTAAATAATTTAAATAACTTAGAAAAAATAATATAACATATTATATACCTATTATATATTGATAATAATTATCAATAATTACGAAGTAAAAAATAATTCAAAAACTTACACATAGGTTTTCAAAGATTATTTTTATATTGCGTATAACATGAATTTATTAAAGATGATTATATAGTTAATTTTGTAAGTTTTTTAAATACGCTGAATATACAAACATTTACGCATTCGGAATACTTTAATTATATTAAAACAAATAACTTTTTCGTTTATAGCAAAATTGCGTTCGATAAGTAGTTTTTGCAAAACAGCAGGTTTATACTAGTAAACGCAAAAATTATTTATCAGATGTATTTTTGCTAAAGGAAAAAATTGTTTGTTTAGCATAAAGTTCTGTACTCTAATGCCTGTTTCCACCAATACAGATTAACTTTAATCTCGGTTTAACTTACTGTTAATCTTTTTCTAATTTTTAGAATTAGAAAAAGATGAAAAGCAAATTGAACCGAGATTAAAATTAATCTGCATTGGTGGAAATGGGCATAAATGTTTAACTCTAAACGAATTTTTGAATATTCTTATATGCATGAAGATATTACCTGCGTATCTACCGACTTATTTTGTTTCTAACTGCAGCGATAGTCACAGGATGCCGCTGGCGCGCTGGCAAACCGTAAGTTTCAAAAGCACGCTATTTGAACAACACTTCCAAAGTTAGATGTCGCCTATGACAAAGTACAAACTACCTGCGTTTATTAAAACATATAGCGAAAGTAAAATCAATTGAATTGTTAAACATTATATGAGGTTGTAATTTTGTAATTTTTATATTATTCGAATAGTTCTCTCTCTATTATTGGTATTATTTATTTAAATTTACCTAAATTATATTACGTGCATAAACGTTGCGCGAATAATCACGAGATGGCATTGTAGGGATTGTAACAGAAATTATGTGTAAATTTATATATGTATCAATATTTATTATACATATTTGTTTTACTACAAATTCTTACAAACTTTTTTCTGACAGATTTTAGTTGGCAAATTTTACAGATTTCAGAATTTTATATGTTAATTAATTAAGGATAATTACATTGTTAGTTTTAGGTATTTCGTAACACGTACTTCATTCATTATTTTTAAATACCGATAAGGTGTCGATAGATTAAATCAGTGATATATATTATTAACGCAAGAATGTTGTAATCTAAAGATATCTAATTATCATATGTTACTATAGCATCCTACGTTTTGTATTAATATGATTGTAGCATAATTACTTATTTGCTCAAATAATGAGCATGTTATCTAATCAGTCTTTTCCATGTAATTTAGTTCATAGATTAGATTCTGTTATATCGTTATCTTCAGAATGCTTCGAACATTTAAAAAGTTCCAATTCTTAATTATTCCAGGAACTGCAATATTAAGTTTTAAAGTAATGTCTGGCTGTATTTCGCTTGAAAGATCAAAGCGACTTTTGGTACGAAACTACAATGTGCCATTTATAGTTAGTATATAACCGTTTTACACAATTGTTGTGACGTTATATGACTTATAATAAATGTTGTAAAGTTCATAGTGTTTTATTAATACGTGCACATGCTAGATAGAAAATTAGAAAGTTTTACAAGCCGTTTATTATTTTGAAAACTGTTGGAGATAACAATGAAATCTTTTTTCCCTTTTTGTGCTTTCTTTTATAGCTTTAGGATTTTATGGCTTTTCACCGTCGCCACTTTCGCATTCCTTAGATAGAAAAGGGTAGACAAGAATGCATACCCTTCGTTTTTTGTGTTACCATACCTACACTCACTTCATAAATCAGTTGTCCGGTTTCTAGCAAATAAAAGTATTAACTCTAAGAGTCAACGAAAAATTAATATTTTAAGAAGTTTCTCTTGTTCTTTATACATTTTGTCATAAAATATAAATTTTCTAGTAAAGTAATTAACTTTGGAAAGACTTTGATTTATATAGTATTTTTCTACGCAAACAATGAAAAAATTGATTGATGACTTTTATATCGTTTGCCAGGTATAATTTTTTTTTCAACAGTCATGTATACTTAGTTTTATATGCTCTTAACACAATAAAAAAAATTCTCAGGTATCGCGATTGTTTACCTTTGGAAAATTCTCAAGGAGAAAAAATGCATTTGTTCTTGTCACAGGTAATCAATAACCATAAACCATCAGGCAGTGTTCAGGTCAAAATACATATTACAGATAGATTATTCAAATTCCATAAATAAATTTTCTCTTTTATTGCGTTATCTATTATTGTTACTGTTATTATTATTATTATTAATATTATTATTATTATTATTATTATTATTATCATTATTATCATTATTATACAACTGTGACATTTATAAATTTATATAAACAAAAAAGTAATTATAATACTATTCTTATATGTATTTTTTTATTATATATAGTTTTATAGCGCGGTAACTTTACTGCAAAAGTTATTGAGCGATATAATTTTTTATTGATAAGTAATAATACAAATTTTTGTTCAATTATTATAAATAAGAGAAATCTTATTTTTTGGTCAAAGCAGATTTTAATACTTAAATATTCCTGCAGTATAAATTTATATATCCGATTTTGCAAATTGCATATCGAAATCTTTCTCGCAATCTAGAAACAATCAAGCAGAACAAGAGTAGTAATATTACATTTTAAATTGACAAGCAATTTAATAATTTTTGCATTTTTATAAGAACATTAATAATCTGATATGTAATGAAAATCTTAAACTTACAAATAATTGATTGCGAAAAATATCGCTTCAACCAAGATTCTCAAATCCTGATCTCCTTTGTTCCGTGCGGATGTCTTTACCTGCATTCGACCATACAAACATAAATTCTCACAGAAATATTTAAGCACTAAAATCGACCGAAAAATAGAGTTCCTCATATATAAATTTATTCTCAGTCTCCACAGATTTTTGTATTGTAATTTTGTATTTTTACTGAATATTTTTACTGAATAAGTTTCATATATGTTAAGTTTGTTAAACGTTAAATGTTTAATTTTTTATATTATTATTTTATGCGAGTGTCGAAGACAATGTAAAAATGTATGCGAAAAATAAAATGTTAAATAGCGTGATTGAATTGTTTATTTTACAAAATGCCGACAAGCGTTTTTGTTCTCTTTTCATTTGTCTCCCTATTCAATTGTATATTTTATATTTTTAATTAATACACACGCACATAAATAACCAAAAATACAATTTTTTTATTATATTTACAATTTTTAATTTAAAAAAAAAAACAAAATATTTTAATTCAGTAAAATCTAATTAATAGTTATAATAAAAACAAAAACAAGCATATTATCAATAAAATGCAATAC